TCCAAAACATCATCGTTGTCTTCTGTCTTTAGTGCATTTCTCCAGGTTTAGTGGAGACCGAATTCGCTCCTCGTCTTTACAGCCAGGACCCAGTCAAAGCTGCAAACATCTACTCTCATTATAAGGTAAGCGTTTGATTTATTTATGGATATTAATCACGTTTCCACGAGGAGGAATGGAGCTGTTCTCCTTCCCGACAGGCTCTGGAAGCGATCGACATTGCCAACGCGGTCGTATACGTCCTGAGCGCCCCCCCTCATGTCCAGGTTTGTCTCTTCATTCCAGTTTTTTCAGTTTTGTTGCTTGTTCTAAAACTAAATAACCCGTTATGACTAATTTCTTCTAGATCGGAGACATTCAGATGCGATCTTCAGAGCAAGTGACATAGCGTCTGATGGCTGGATCTACTCCAAAATCCCTGATGGGATGAATTCATCACATCTGCAATCAGAGTCACAGATGAAAAACCTGTAATAAAAAAAAAATTACAACACAAATAAATAATTTTGCAATTAGCGCTGCTAGGTTTTTGACTGGAACTGGGAAAAGGGACCCCATTTATCCCATTCTCTCCTACCGGGCACAGTTTAAGATCCTGCTTTTTGTGTTTACGTTTTTTCGAGGCGGTGCACCCACCTACTTAGCGGAGCTCTTAAAGGGACATTATGTAAGTTTGACAGCCAAAACGTATAGAAATAATAAATGTCTTCTTCATACGTTCTCCTGCAATGCCCTGGTCCTGTAGAATGAGCCCTGGCATTTTTACTGTGATTGCCTGTTTTTCTGTAAAATCACAGAAAAAGAGAGATGCTCTGGTCGAGCAGGCTGCTTCATGCGCGTTCACGCTCAGGCATCGCCCGTAGCATTTGCTATCCGTAGCTTTAGCAGCAGAGAGAGAGGCAGTGCCACTTTGTCGCTGTTCCTAACGTCTAGTGACAAAGCTAGCTACATTTCTGAGGACCCTTAGCTACTTTCTGTAGAACTTTCTTCTAGATATTTCCTGCTAATTAGCAACAAAATAGCCATTTTCACTCCGAACCGTTCTTTGAACGTTGTTTCAGCTGTCATCAAGGATATAAATGTTACAGATACTAAAGACGTCACTGGTGCTTTAGCTCACCTAGTAAGACGTCGAACTCTCGTGCAGAAGACCTGGGTTTGATTCTGGATGTGAACATAGTTTATTTATAGTTTATTTTTTACATTAATGGTATATTTTTTTACAGTAAGATGCCCAAATTTTTATTTGAGACTCGCCGAACGGCATTGAATTCACAGATAAAAAAGATGTGGGTTCAACTTTCATTTTGGAACAATTTTTCAAGCAAGGGAAGGGAATGATCTGAGCATGCAGGAGGACTGACCCATCATAAACCTTTGTCGGCTGTGCTGAAGAGAAAGGTACAGAACCACATTATTTAATTAATTAGCTGCACGTTCTCCTGTCTTCTGTCCTCCGGGCCCCCCCCCCCACACACACACACACGCATACAAGGGACTGTCTCAGCTGTTATTTTCGTTAAGGAGTGTGCACGTACAGCGTGCGCGCCTCGTGCACGAGCCTACTATTGAAGCTGCCTTTACGCTTTTGGCCTGAGGGGGCAATCGCGAGCAAAAAAATTCAAAACTCTGCAAAGTCCCTTTAATAACGCATGTCCCCTCAAGGTTGTTGCGGTCGGCTGACCAGAAATTGCTTACCGTCCCTCGCACCTGATTTAAGACTCGTGGTTATTGGGCTTTTCAAGTCCTTGCACCCTCTCTCTGGAACCAGCTCCCGCTCACGATCAGTCGAGCAGGTTGAAGCCTTATTTTTATGAGATGACCTCCTAATGCTTCTGATTTCTGGTTTTTGTTCTTTATTTTGATTTCTTGAATCCAAATTTTAGGGATGGACAATATATCGGTATCGGCCGATGTTAAGTCATTTTTTTAACATATCTGTTTGAGAAATAAAACCGTGCTGATATTAACAATCGATATTTTTTCCATCTCGTCTCCATTTGTTTGCCTGTGAGGGTGATGGGGTGATGTGTAATTGTTTAGTCATGTGAACAGTGAATGAGATAATCTCAGAACCATAAATGTGTGTGGTGTGTGTGCAAACTAACATAAATTCAACTTTAATAATTTTCATTCTATACAAAATCTGCTGATTTTAGAAGCATTAACTCGTTCGTTGTCAATGGCGACTAAAGATGTCATTTGCATTTTTTTTTACTGTGTGGGCGTCGGACGAGCCCCCGCACCGTGAGAACAAACATCTCAGCTCTGAAGCCGATCTTCATCTGCGTACGTCACACGTCACATGATCAGGAAGTAGAAAATCCATGTGTTAGATCGTTTTGGGCCGGTGCTGTAAAAAAAAAAAGTGAGGCGCGAACCGGAAAAGCTTCTGCCGATCACAATTCAACGGATTATGAAAGCACGGATAACGCTCGAAACGCGCAGATTCTTCCTGATGTAAGAGGTGAGTCTCCGCTTTGTTTTGGTTGTTTTGGCGTCGACATCATGCTAGCGCGCAACGTTCTGTGACTCTTAAAAAAACAGTAAAAACGGTGAGAAACGCTGGCAGCGAATGGGTTAATGTCAGTATATCTGTATCGACAAATATCGGTTATCGGCCATAACGGTGATCTTAATGTCGGTATCGGCGCCTTGGTTCCCCTTTGAGGGTGGTGGAAAGCGCTATATAAATAAAGTCTGATGATTAATTCATTTGATGTATAAAGAGGCAAATACACAAAGAAAACAGACAAAAATACATATAAATCCTGTTTTCCACAAAATGAAACCATGTGTTAAGATTTAAATCCAAACTTTCTTTAGACTTTTCAAACTTGCGCTCAAACCTGATTGAGCGAAAGCAGGGAGAGGCTAATTCTAACTACTCTCTAGGAACAAAAGGCCCTAACGGTCGCAGAGGTGTGTGTGAGCAGCACTTCCTCTCGGGAAATTCCGATGAAAGAACTTCCTCCTCATGTAAATGAGCTTCGGCTGTTCTGCTGGTCCGCGTGTGCGCCCGCTGGCGTCTCTGGGCGACGCTCGCGGGACTGGACCAATGCGTGGCAGGCAGTCGCCTCAGCCAAACGGTCTGAGTCTCAGAAACGAGGCTCGTCTCTGGGATCGTCATCGTCGTTTTTCTGGTGAGTCCAGAGTCGGCTGCAGTCCGAAGCTGAGAGGAGCACGCAAACATTTAGGAAATGAGCACAGAAATGGCTAAACGAACATCTTACGACACAAAACGGTCTTGGAGAATCTTCAAACAGGCCTCAGGATGCTGGTTATCACCCAAAAAAAATACGATAAATCTGTACGGTGGCCTCTAAAGGCTTTTAAAGTCCGACCATGGCCTGGAAAACTGATCATACTTCATTTATTTTGTTCCTTTAACAACACAAATTAATTCCACTTTTAATTTGGTTCAAATGAACTTGAAACAATCACTAATGGGCAGAAAAAGTCACATAATTAGCAAGGGTAACTTAGAAAGCGTAACGCAGCGTCACAGAAGCTCAGCTGGAAGGTAAACTGACTCCAGGCTTTCTGAGGAGACACGAGGAGATGATAAACTACCGCAGGAACAGCGTTAGCTCTGAGCTTCAGCAGATTCACATCCACCATCAGATGGTTTAATCTCCGGAGATCTGTTGGGTTTAATCAAACAATTCATTGTTTTTTGTGGGTTTTTTTTTTTTTGGTCCAGACAGGAGTTCCTCTGGTGGTTTCTGTTGTCGGCACAAAGCAGGGCTGATTCACATGTCAGGATTTAATGCAGGATCAGACCAAAAACGACTTTTATCATTTAGGGCTATGAAGCGGCTCTGTCTCCAGCAGAGGGCAGTATTTAGACCAGATCCGGTTCGGTTTGAGGAGGGTATTCCAGCTCTGAGGTCAAAGGTCAGATAGGAATCTGGTAGAGCATAATTCCTATTTCCATCAAAGTAGGTGGTCCAGGCCCAGACCACAACACTCCCTCCACCATGTCTGACCCTTGCCGCGGTGTTTTCGGTTTGGGTGCCTATTTCTTCTTAATAAATAAAATCATAATTTCTAATTTGTGTTAATTTTATTTGTATGTGTAGTTTTCTGGTCTGAGAACTTTTTCTAACCTGGAACGATGATGATGGATCAGACAGTCGGGCTGGGAATGCCGTCCTTCATCCTAATCTACGCGTGTACAGCATCCCAAGGGCATGACGTGGGTGGGCACAAAGCGGTCCGGATCCAGTGATGTTGGCATCAATCCCAAACATTTTCAAACTATTTAATCTCACTGGAAGGAGGAGCCTGACTTGACCTCTGTGTTCCGACTCCAACAAACTTCTACAAAGGTTTGCTAAACTGACCAGGAAGTGGGATGTATCGATGAACTTCTTGGGATCCAGATTTAATCTTTTTGTAGGAATGCAGCCTTGTGAAGCTGAGGGATTATCTGCTGTAGAAAAAAATATTTGGAGTTACAGACAAAACCAACAAGCTCTGAGTTTATCTCACATTTCACCCAGATTCTCGTCGACCAGCTGTTGGTCTTACACAGAAATGACTTCATGCTGCCCTCAGAATCACCAGGAGACACGAATCGTTGATCACTTCTTTATCGAATCTGATTAAAACTGAATCGAGACTCGTGCAAGGCCTTGCCTATCAGGTCTTCAGCTGTGGGCATGTGAAAATCAGCTGACCTGCAGGTTATTACAACACCAGCATGTGGGAATAATGAGCTACTAATCAGAATGTGAGCTCGCTCAAGGATCAAAGTCTGCAGGATCCTGGAGGCAACAGGAGCCTGAACTCAGCAGATTCTGGCCCGTTTTCTGCGCAGCGGTCAGAATAAAACAATTATGAAACGCGGTCAAGCAGGTTAGCATTGATCCTCTAAGGTTCCGATTTCTCCTCTTGATTAAATCTTTCCAGCTGGGCTGAATGTGCATAAAGCTCTCATGCCGGAATGTCCAAAGCGCGGCACGGGGGCCGTTTGGGGCCCTCGGAATGATTTAGTTTGGCCCCTCCGTCTCCATTTGTGGTATTTGCTCTCCAGCGGGTCGTTGATGTAGATTAACACTTCTTATGCTCGTTTTTAAATGGGATTTGTATTTTTTAACAGAAAAAAATCTCCATTTTTGCACTTTTTGGGGCACCTGACGGCTGTTAGTGTGATGATGCGGGCCTGGACAACTGGACGTGGTTCTGGAAGTGTTTCTGACTCGGGAAATGTTCGGCAAAGTCACAAACTAGATGCGTTATTTCACAATAATCCAGTTTTAATAATTTACTGATACTTCTGACGCTGATTTCTCCTGAAAACACGAAGCGTCTTTTAAAGAAGCCGAAACAAATTAGTTTTAGAGTTGGTTTTCGTTTAGTTCGGGAGCTGATTTTAAATTCACCAAATGGGGTTTAGAAAGTTATTTTTGTCTTTGTTTAGCTTTAATCTGTGAAAATGACAAATGTACACTGACAAATATAACCACTCAGAAACTTTATTACCGACATGCAGGATAAAAGTCGTGTTTTTCTGTCATCAGCTACTTCTTGCTTCTCTAGTCTAAACCGGCACCTGAAAGCCGCAGCTTATTGCTGTCGATGTAGCAGCTTCCTCCTCTTCTTCCTGTTAAATTGTGCTTTTGCCCTCTCCACAGACACCTGCAGCGGGCTCCTGGGGGCTGCGGGGGCCATCCAAGGGGTCACCAGTGTCACTGGGGTGGGACGTCTCTGCTGCCCGCTCAGATCCCAGCGTAGATTTGAAGGGACGGTGGGGTCGGGTGCGGTGAAACGCTCCTGTTCACGGTGAGCTTCTGCATCCTGCACTGCAGCCGTAGGTGCAGCGTGGGGGGGTGGAGCTGTCAGAACGGAGGCTACGTTTTCTGAGCTGCCGTGGGAGAAATGTGGGTTTCCACTCGTTTTCCTCCGTCTGTTTCTCTTGGCCCTCTCTTTGGGTTTGAGCCTTCTCAGGACGCTGTAGGTGAGAGCTGCAGCCTGGCTGCTGCTTCTGTAAACATGGGAGCGCCGCTGGCCTGGCGTGGGGGCGGATGATGTGGGAAGAATTGCTCTCAGGCCGTCCTCAGAGGAATTCGACTGGTCAGCATGCACAATGGGAGCGCCAGAGCTGGATTTCTGCCTTTTCTTCTCCTCCTCATTGTGTGCTCTCTCCTTTGACCTCTTCCTTTTGGCTTTGGGGGTTGAAACGGGGGCGACGGCGGTGCTGACATGGAGCTGCTGCTCAGGCTCGCTGGGGGTGGAAACGATGGCGTTTAGTACCAGATCTTCGGAACAAGGAGGAAGAGGCTTCTTGCTCTTCTTTCTTTTACACTTCTTTTGTCCTCTGGCTTTGTCTGAAGTCGCAGGCGGAGGGGTTTCCCGTTTCATCGGCTCTGACTCCGCTGGCCTCTTCTGGACCATCAGAGGTGGCGTAACGGAAGCCAACTCCTTCTCTGCAGCCGGTTCATCTTTCATGACGTCATTGGAGGGCTCATCTTTTGGTCTGAGCTCAGATCCTCTGTCATTGGCTCTGTTGGCATCTATGCTCGACTGCTCGGGCCTGTTGGACTCACGGATGAAGTTACTCAGGGACAGGACTTCTGTCTTGCTGCCAGGTGGACCTGCAGCTCCCTCCTCTGTTTTCACACCAGCATCTGATTTCTGTTTCCTCTTCCTCCCTTTTCCTTTTGGCGTTTTGTTGCTTTGCTTCTTCTTCTTCTTCGCGTTCTTCTTCTTCTTCTCTGAGCTTTGCGTGTGATCTTTGTTGGAGTCGGAGTTGGAGCCCTGAGATGTCGAGACGGTGGCGAGCACCTTGATGAAGTCCTCAGCGGCAGTGACGACGTTTCTCATCGAAGGCTCTTCCGGAGCAAACGTGGAACTCTGGGTCATGCTCTCAGGTTGCTCTTCTTCATCGCGCCTGGGCGGAGCCACCGCCAGCTCATCGATGACATCGACACCTCCGTAGTCGTAAGACACTGCTTCTCTCACCACAGCGATGGGGAGCTCATCGTATCGTTTACACCTGTGAGACACGGGAGATGAAGAGGAGGCGGGGTTTTATCCAGCTCACCTGTACCTGCGTGTCAGATCTGTGATACTTACAGGCCGTACCAGTGGCGCTCCACACAGCGCTCCTCATAGACAAACTCAAAGCAGGGAACGCCTATGACGTTGAAGAAAGCCTGACCTACAACCCTGGAGGACGTGTCGTTGACTTTTCTCAGACACGCTTTCAACCTGGAGGCAAACGATGGAGACGTTTGATTCTGCAGGAGAGTTTAGTAAATGTTCACTCGTCTGATCAGACCTCAGTCAGATTTCCATCATGCATCATTAGAAATGACTAAATGCTTCAGTAAATCTGAGTCTTACGCTTCATCGCAGTCACAGTGACAGATGGAGTGCCACTTGAAGTTGGTGTATCCGTAGTTGGAGGAGAAGGCGTGGATGACGTTGGGGCAGTGATCGTGAGTTCGACAGCAGCTGTCCGTTTCTGCAAACTCTCCTGCGGGAGAGGAACGTGTTGTTCAAACACCTGAATGGTTCGGAGTTGGGTGAAACCTTCTGCTTACCCAGCTGGTTAAAGTTATCCGCCATGTTTCCGGCTCCACACCAAAGGGTCCCTGGGTAGGTGAACCCTCTCTTGGATCTTTTCAGAACCTCTCCTTTCCCCTCCTTCCTCGCGCTACCGCTGCGCCCTGATCTCTCTTTAAACTCCCGACACATCGTTTTAGCCTCACCCACGTGCGTAAAAGGCGCCTCCAGCGGCCGCGCCCCGCCTCTCTGCCCCCGCAGCCCCAACCTGCACTCATGCATGAACGACTTCACCTCCATCTGGTTCACCACAACGGAGCAGTTGACGAGCTTTCCGGCGGGGCTGACCACCGTGCGCACCACCTCGGCTCCGTCCGACACCTGGTAGAGGTAGTTCTCCCCGATCAGGGACATCTTTGCGCAGAAGGTCCCGTTGATCATGGAGAACATCTCCTTGCTCTCCTTCTCCGCGTCCACGGCGCGGCTCAGGAAGTCTCCCCTGACCACGTTCCTGTCCAGATAGGACAGGAAGACAAAGAAAACCGACCACATGACGCGCGCGAGGGGAGACTTTCAGCACCACGCGTAACGGAGACAGCTCCTCGGGGTTGTCCGCCGCTCCCGGGCAGCCCTCCCTCCTTTTTAAGGCGAAGCTCAGAGTGGTTCGATTCTTAACGCGAATAACGGCCGGGCTGGGTGGAGTCACGGGATTAACCTCTTTATTCTGGACCTCCTCCACACGGCGAGCAGGTACAGCCGCCGGCTCCTCACCGCGCCGACGGAGAAGAGGGGGTTAAACCGGTAGCTCGGAGCGTGAACTCTCAGCAAGAGCTGACCGCAGGTTACCCCCCCATACACGCGCGCGCGCACACACACACACACACACACCTTCCCAGAAAGGGGAGATTTACTTTGGGAACATGCATGGAGGAGGAGGTTCTCACTCCATGGTGACACGCACGGGGCGCAGGACAGTGGACATCTTTCAGACGCTATTAAACTGGTCCTGAATCAGGGATGACCTCAATCCCAACGTGGAGACAAAAGTCTTTCAGTGAAGAATGTGGACAGGCTGAAACTGTCTCACGCAAACTGGACCGAGTCTGCAGAAGTCAAAGTGTTTCAGCCTCGAGCGGCTTCAGGACAGTTTTTATTCCCTTCTGTTAATTTTTAAAGCTTTTTTTGTGTCTTAACCCGATTTATTTCACGCAAAACATTTACATAAAAACACAAATCAGAGGAAAATTACTTTTTATTTATAATAAATGGAAATAAGATCATATTATTGTTATTGTTACAGATCATTATTTAAAAATATATGATTTCCATTTTAATTGATTTCTGAGTTTGTTGATGTAATTTTTTTACATCAAGACATCACTGAATTAACCCTTTAATCTCCAGACCATAATAATCATGTATAATTTAACTTTTTACATGTAGTTTGAATTTATTTAATAGTTTTTTTTCATCTAAGTTTATTTTCTCATTGGGACTAAAACGAGCTCTAATAGTCAAAAAGGGAATTTGGTAGGAAATAAAGAAAAGTTGAAGATAAATGAACAGTTTGTTTATTTTTATGTTTTAATTGTGCACCAGAAATCAAGCATCCAAACAATAAACCGGCTTCAGTTACAGATTTCTATCACTTGTTCTGCTCTGTATGAGCTCTGAAATCCAAAGTCTCCTTCCTGCATCTTATTTGCACGAACAACTTTTCTTTTTTCCAAGAAAAGCCCCGTTCCCCACCCCACTGCTGTCAGGTTGGGTTTCTAATCAGCCCAGTGTTTTGTCACATGGCTGGTCTTACTGGGAGCTCTGGAGGAGATCCAGCCTACTCAGGGAACTCAAATCGGATTGCCGGAAGGCGGAGAGAAATGATGTAAAATCACCAGAGGCAACATTCGACCACATCTCAGGAGAAAAGGAGTTTCTTGTCAGGTGTTGGAGGGATCCGGGGCAAAGGAACAAGGCCACTACCCTACAGTCAACTCACACCAGAGACAGGCCCAGAAAAATTGAGAATATGAACATTTGAAAGTGAAATTTGAGAAAATCTGCACTATTAATAATAACAACAATAAATATTAACTACGCCATGTTAGATTAATGCAGACACACCATATGTGTCTTATAAATGAAAACGCATCAGTTTAAAAATGTTGCCTTAAATGACACATCTGATCAATCAAACCTTATTTATGAAGTGCTTTTCAGACAGAGTTCAGTCCAAAGTGTTTTACATGACTAAAAATGACCCCAAGTAAAATATTTTGATGCCTTTTTGAGTTTTCATTGCCATTTTGTGCCATTGACAATTTTTATTTCTTCCTGATGAGTGAAGATATTTTTCTGCACGATAAACTATGAGAAGCCCGCATTATAAATAAATAAATAAATAAATAAATAAATAAATAAATAAACTAAAAAGACCACATTTAACTTCAGCTGTAGATCCAGCGCCCCCTGGTGGTCCTGCAGACTAAAGTTCTCCCGGCAGCTTTGCTCACAAGTTTGATGAAATTCCTTAAAGATAAAATATTTAATTTCCTGTTGAGAGCCATTGACTTGCTGGAGTAAATTTTCACAGTAAATCAAACGTCTACGAGATAAAAATTTAGAAATTCAGCATCTGAAGCTGATTCAGCCACCGGGGTGAAACACTGACATCTAGGGGTCAATGTGGGAACTACAACCACATGTTAGTGAAGAACAATAAAGGGATGGTTCTTATTCTTTAATAAATCAGAGAAAAAAATCACCAAATGTTTTTGTTATGTGCAAAACTGGTTCAAATGTGTTAAAATATTGGTGGATTTCAGAGGGAATTTCTATGCGTGCCAAAAGGTTGCATAAAAGAGTGCGGAGCAAGCTAACAGAATACATTTTATGAATAAAACTTTTTATTATTTTTTGGGGAAAAAGTTGATCATTTATAGCTAATTGGGCTGCTGTGTTGCAGACCCCCTTTTGTCCATGTAAGATCTGACACTTGAACGGAGTAAATGCGTGTGATTTCCACCCAGATTTATGAGTCCATAAACCTCCTGAATGTGCAGAGAGAAAGCCGGCGTTTCAGGACTGCAGCAGGTCACCCGGTTCAACGCAAGCATCTGGGACTGTGGGAAAGTTGGGTGGTTGCTGGAAGAAACGTCTTCAGCTCAGCTTGATCTCTGTTTGAACAAATTGGTTTGAAATTTCAGATATCGGTTTATTTATAAGCAGTCGAAACTTTTCCGTTCTGAGAACAGTGAAGATTTCAGTCAACACAGTCGGACGGAAGATCGTGTTTCCGCCGCAGTGAACGCAAACCAACGAGAGTTTACTCTGTAATGGATCATCTGGTGACAGCCAGTGTTGGGCAAGTTACTTCAAAACTGTAATGCATTATTTATTACTTGTTACCCTCATTTTAAAGTAATTAATTACATTACAATATTACTGATTTTAAAATGTAAGGCATTACACTACTTTTGCATTACTTTAAGTTACTTTCACCAAAACAACTTCAATATCTGGTAATCTGACACTCAGTGAGCTCATGACATGTATGTGGAAAGTGATGTGGTGTCTGAGCTAGGATTGCTGTTAAAAACAGTCAGATATCATAACAGTGCTTTAAAATGATTGTTTATGAAATAAAAGCAACAACAATCTGTACTCTCAGCACGCTGCCATCTTATATTAACTGAGCAGGGAGTGAGGTGGTGGGGGCTCCAAGCCTATATTTGCCTTGGTCCCCAAATTCCTTGATACGGCCCTGGATGTGGGACTGACTTCTGGGGTGATCTGATTCTATCACATGTATAAATATTAAATGCTTATATATTATTGCTTTTCACTGGTAAAATGTCTATTGGGGATAAATCTACCTACTTTTTTTCTTTTCAAGCACTTTGTTTTGTTTTCTTGATTTTATTTGAATGATTTCCGGCCCTTTCTCTCTCTAACCTTCCTGCATGCTGCAGGTTTTCTCCGTCTTCCAGAAAAAACTGTTTCCTAGATTTCCTACTTTCTAACTAATCAGCCAAAGGGATCTACCGAACGCTAAAAATAAAATTAAAAAAAGCTTAATATGCGCTGCGCTCCAGCAGCAATGAGTTGAAATCACCGGGGCACAGATTATGAACTCAGCTGAAAAGTACATGAAGTACCAGAGAATATGGGCTGATATAAACGATCGCAAACAAATTGTTTTGGTGGAGCGATTTTGTGAATATAACAGCGGCCGCGCGCAGAACGCAGCTGGAGGATTTGAGCCGTTACCGCTGCATCCTCTCTGCTCATAGAATGCCCGCAAAGCTGAGTCCATAAATGACGTCATATATGTGGATACTGGATCTTTTTTCAGGCTTCCCGCAATTTGAATTTTTATAAAACCCACATCTTGATTCTGCATTTAAAAATGCGTTGTAATTACCGCGTTACTGACAACCGTACCAAGTAAACATTACCATTTTCTTTCCATGTAATGCCTTACATTACCACATTACAGCAAAAAGCAATGCATTACAGTAATTACTTTTGTACCGCATTACTCCCAACACTGGTGACAGCAGCTCACAACAATAACCTGGAGAACGCATGAGAAGAGGATTAACATTTTTATGTGATCTGAAGGTCTGCTCCATCCACTTACTGGAGTGAAGCGCAGAGGCAAGAGACAGCACAATATTTGTGTTATTTAATTTGCCCATAACTGCTCAAAATCATGTTTATTGATGATTTTTATGAAATCCACGCCCCCACTAATTTCAGATGGAACAAACCTCCCACGCCTCTGAGTTCCCCTCCATCTCTGACCAGGAACAGAACAAAGAGTTGGGTGTTCAGCATCTCTGTACAGAGAGTTCTGTCCATTTCTGTTTCCTATGAAATGAGCCTTTATGGAGGCCTATCAAAGACATTTCCTGTTTCAGCAGCGGTTTGTGTGAGGGCTTGTCCCACATAATAAAACGGATTAGCGTTCAGAAACATTACCACATGGAACAGAACTAAACCTGCGTTTGGCACACACACACTTAAAGACCACAGTGTTGCTTGGAAATTTTATGTTTCAGTGTTTTGCTTAGCAAAGGTCTGTTTCTGTCGCTGAGCACATCCCAGAGATTCTCACTGGGGTTGAGGTCTAGACTGATCTCTCATGCTCCCCGGCCCGTGCCATCAGGGAAGATGCAATAACCTGGTCATTCAGGTAGTCAGCTGACCTCATTCTTGGAGCTCATCCTGTTGCTGAACCTAGACCTGACCAAGTGCAGCAAGCCCAGATCATAGCACTGCCCCCACAGGCTTTTACAGTAGACACTAGGCATGATGCATCACTTTATCTGCCTCTCTTCTTACCCTGATGCACCATCACTCCGGAACAGGGTCCATCTGGACTCATCAGACCAGTTTTAATAAAGCGTTCTGAACCCAGTTTTAGTCGTTTCTGCATCTCCTTAGATGTTTCCTCTGCTTGATGACAATGATCTGACCCTTCTCACGCAGATTAACATCTTTCCCACGACCACCGGACGTGTCTTTCCACATGGTTGTTTAAGAAATGAGAAGCAGCTCATTGCACCAATTGGGTTAAATTTCTTGTTTCCAGCTGAAAGATTAACGCCCATGCAGTCATTGTCCAATAGGAGACTCCTACCTGTTAAATCCAGATGGTGACTTTTCTCTTGGTGTAACTGCTGTTGCTGTTTATTTCTTGATTTATTTATTTTCCCATTTGTAAGACACTGGGTTGGTTGTGTTTCCTGTAATTTTATTTTGAAAAGCTACATGAGCTGCTCTGCCAGCCACACCCTTGATTTGATGGATACAAGCCAGGTGTGAGGAACACACAGAACCGGGATGAAGTGCTGACAAGCAGACAGCTAAAGAACTAACTAGTAAAAGGACTTAAAGGAAGACAGATGGATTCCCTTTGTGTTTTAAGCAAAACAGCCAACGAGGTATTTATTTGTCTTTATTTTATTGCACATTATTGTATATGTTTTAATTGTACTATCCTGTATTTAGTTTCACGGTTTAAAGGAGGTCTAAAGAAAGGAGGACAGAAGAGGTCCACAATGAAAGGATGTCCAATAAACCCGTAAAGAAATCACTTGCGTCTGTGTTGCTTGGAGGGAATCACACTTGGGCTGGGTGGTGTAGATGGAGCTGAAATCGTACCTGTTGCTGTAAAATGTGTTTATTTGTTCTCCTTTTACATGATTATCAAGTTTAAAACAGGAAATGTAAATGTTGTGTTGGCGCCACCTACTGGTGTAGCTGAGTATTGCGCTTTGAGGCACACAGGCTGTCGGAGACCGAGAACTCCAGCTGCAAAAATGTGAAAGGACAAAAATGGACATTATGGACTGCGGTTGTTCTTAAATACGTACATGGCAGGCTTGTGTGTTTATTTGAGTATATTATCAGATGAATGTTTGAGCGTTGGCTTTGTTAAACCGCTTTTTTGGAAAAGGGAAATAAATGTAATTTCCCCACTGTCCATTTAAATCTTTACAATGGACCAGCAAGGGAAAAAATTCACACATTACCCCACCAAGATGTTTGTTCACCACCAGTACTGGTAGTTTTAATGTCTCTATCTTTGAGGATGTAGCAACCATGTTTTTTCCACCAAATTTATTGTATAAGTTTAAGCCAGCGTTTGCAACCAGCAGCTGGTTTTTAAAACAAACTAGTGTTTTTAAAGGCATGCCTTGAAAGTTGTGCTAAAATTACCCTTCATAGGGTAAATGAAAGGCCACCCAGCCCTTATCTGTGACCAGAATATAGCATTTGCAACGTCATCCAGGCGGCTGCCTTGTTGGGAATTGAATGGAGCTGACATACAGCCTGGCTCCAGCACGTTTCCTGCATGCAGTTTTAGATCACGAACACAGCTGATCTGTTTCATTTAGAGATGAACCACTCCTGTAGACATCAAGGAAAGCTGGGAGACATTCCAGCTGTTGGATCAAGTTGTTCAAACGACTAATGCACTGTGAGGAAATGAGAAACCAAACACTGGGGGATGCTAAAAGCGAGGCAAAACTGCCTAGTAAATATAATTACCAATGCAGGTTTAAACTGTTTTTTCATAGTTGCATTGAATTCCCCTAACAGGCTGAAACTAAAAGCAATATTTTTAGATTAATTTATGTTTATATTTTGGATAATTTTTTAATATCAATATGCATCCCATAAATAGCCACACTCCTTTGGCTAAAGTTTAATTGGCTTAATTCTTCTTAATTTTAAAAACTAAAAAAGAGAGAATACTTTGTGTGTGTGTGTGTGTGTGTGTATATATATATATATATATATATATATATATATATATTTTTTTTTTTATGACAACAAATATCTTACAGGAATTTTTTACAGAAAAGGTAAAAATGAAAAAGATGATCCTGGGCCAGAATCTTCTGATAGAAAGATAACTTTTTAGAGGCCCTGTTGTTTTTCCAAAAACATTTCTTAAACATTATGAGGTCCAGTAACAGTTTTGGCCCTAACGAAGTTTTAGTGATGCAGGCAGGGGATGATAAATGATGCGGACCCCGGTTCAATCACTGACAGCGTCTAGCCCCGCCCACCGGTCCATGCGAGCTCTTCCCCTCCAGCTGATCGGACCATGGACGTGTTCGCGGTTCCTGCAGACAGACCCAGAGGATGGTACCTTTCTCTCATGGCTCCTAACACGAAGGGATCGGAGTTCGCCTGGCTGGACCCGTCCAGACTTTACTGCAACTCTCAGGTATGACTGGAGGAGGATCAGCTGTTCGGCAGAAATCTGCATTCACCCCCTCCTCCTCCGGTTCCGACAGGCTTTGGCGGACTGTGTGCAGGACCTCCTCGGTCCGTTCCACAGAGACCCCGTTGACCTGGTTGCTGGGATCGATGCGATGGGATTTATCCTGGGTGAGAACCCCCCCCCCCCCCCCCCCCCCCCATACTAAACTTAGAAATCTCCATATATTACCTCGCTGCCGCGTGACTCTAAACATGTGTAATATATATATGTGTATATATATATATATATATATATATATATATATATGTATATGTATATGTGTGTGTGTGTGTGTGTGTGTGTGTGTGTGTGTGTGTGTGTGTGTGTGTGTGTGATTTTTGATCAGCTTCCCTCTGGGATTAATAAAGTATTTTTGAATTTGAATAATGTAAAGATTAGCCATGCACCGTGAGCGCAGATTTGTTTTGTTGGTTCTGCAGGAACAGCTGTTGCCACCACTCTGGGGAAAGGATTCCTGGCTATCCGTAAAGCAGGTCATCTGTGTGTCGCAACACAAACCCAGAACTACAGCGACTACACATCCCGAGAAAAGAGCATGGAAGTGAGGCTGGATGTGCTGAAACCAGGTTAATCTTTTATGACGTCAGATGATCCATAAATGTTCTCCAGTGAGGGTAAGAACGGTTTAATGATTGTATGAAAGTGTAATTATTAAGTTTGTGCATAAAGCAACCACTATAAATAAATGGTAGGTCGTTTTTAGTTTTTGTTTTTAAACAAGAGTTTTAAAAATGGGGGAAAACAACATTAAAACCATCAAATATTTTGCATAGAAACTGATCCTGCAAAAACTGACAGTAAATAAACATAAATAAATGTGGAAATAAATAACTATTTAGTAAATCATGAAGCCAAAACATTGTCAGATGCAGTTTCCTTAAATGAGCACTAGATGGCACTGTTTCACTTTGCATATTTTATGAAACAGGGCCCTCCGGTGCTCATTTGAGGAACTGCATCTGAAACTGTACGGAAATGTTTAAAAATCATATTTTCTGTCATTTTCCTATAAATTATTCAACGGTAGATATTAAAATTGACTAATTTCTAACATTAAATCATGTGTGTCCTGAATTCATGCTGCAGAAAAGAGGATCAGCCGAGGAGTTGAAACTAGGGAAGCAGTGTAGATGCGATGATTCACTTTTTGCTGTCTACTGCATATAGACCTTTTCTGTTACATCATGGCTACCTTGAATCCACTGGGATTATTTAAGGTAGCGATCATTTATTGTAAATGACCAGGAAAGTAATCTCTAGGATCTGATTCCAGGTGTGAGGGTGTTGTTGGTGGATCAGTGGATCGAGACCGGAGGCACGATGAGAGCTGCCATCCAGCTGGTGGAGAAGCTGGGAGCCTCTGTTGCAGGTTGGTAACCGTGACAACCAGATGTTGAGAGTTCTAAATCTCTGATATCTCCTTCCCTGCAGGCGTAGCCGTCGTGGCCATCGAGAACACCGAAGGCGGGAAGTGGATTAAAGAAAACTATAAGTTCTCCCAGTGTGTTCCCCAAGAGCTGCAGGCTCAGATCGACGGGAAATATTTGGACTCCTTTAAAATTTTTAATAAATAGACCCAAATCCACAGGGATTCAAGAGCGACGGACACTAAATAGTTTAGTTTGCTTTATTATAATATAGAATATACAGTCAAATCTCATTTTTACAGAACTTGACGAGGTTATCTCTTATGACATCAAATTAAAAGCTGATGACTAAATATTCACAGATAAAAACAAAACAGTCATGCTTATAATAAAAATACCTGTTAAAATGATTTATGTCACAGACTCTAGTTAATAATACTCAGATAAACAAAATAAAATGTTTTGTCCCACGTGTTAATAAGTCCTGGTCCTTTACTCAGATACAGCCACAAAAACATCAGGGTTTATAATAAAAACTCGTTTAAAGGACAAAAAGGAAAGGAAGCCGAAAAGTCTGACGTTTAAACTAAAACTTGAAGCAAATGAATAATCCAGTCATGTTTTGGCAGCATCATCATAAATTCCATCATTCCTGCTTGGCTCCGTAAAGCCCCTCCACCAGCCAGGAAGTGGAACGCCGGCTCTGACCACAGGAATCCTCCTGCTGAGCTGGACGACTTGCTAAAACTCCCTGTCCTCACCGACAGCAGGGCTGCTTCTTCTTCGACGAGGCGTACAGGTTTCCTGAATTGCTGCTGATCTCTGAGACGAACACAGATGTTAAACTTTATGAGGATGATGAGTTTTTTTTAACATTGAGCCGTTCCGATACTCACTGACGACGTCTCCGATCTGCCTCGATGTGCTTTTCTCCAACTCGGCCAGAACGTTCGTCTCAAATGCCAAGGCGGCAACTCGGAAGAAGAACTCCTTCACGTTTTCTCCTGCAGGAGGAGACACTGAGAGGCTCAGCGAGGAGCCGGCTCTGGACAAATTACACTAATAATAAATAATTACTGTCCTTTTATTTTGAAGAGTCTGATAGACGTGAATAAATCTAGCCAATGAGCAGCTGGTGGCTCTGTTGCCTAGCAGTGAGAAGGTTGCAGGTTTAAATCCCAGCTGTGACCATTTGGTGTGGAGTTAGCATGTCTTCATGCATGCATGGGTTTCCTCACACACAACAAAAACATGCTAGGTTAGTTGTCCTTAGGTGAGTGTGTGTGAGACCGGTTTTGTCTCCATCTCCGTGATGGACAGGAGACATGTCCAGAGTAGGGATGCACTGATATGAAATCTTTGGACCGATACGAAGATCACTGTTATGGCCGATAACTGATTTTGCTGACATTAAGGCTTCTAAAAGCAGCTGATTTTGTAAAGAATGAAAATGATTAAAGCTGAATTTACGTTATTATGAGCGCGCACACACACACACGCACGCACGCACACACACACACACACACACACGGTGTTTCTCAATGACAAGGAACCTTGCCTTGATGTCTTGGCCCCGCCCCGGTTGCCTAGGAGATAAGTCATCAGGAGCCGCCAAGACGTGCTCCAATCGGTTCCAATGTTCATGTTCTACCGAGGCGTGTGTTCTCCGTTTGTTAGCCGTTTAGCTAGCTGAGCGAGGATACACGGGAGGTGTCTTGTAGCCTAGCCTTGGTCAAAAATTACCCAGAATACACCGCGGTATTTTCAAAAGGACGGCGGATCAGAAGCCGGCAGCCACTTCGGGGTCAATTTTCAAGTTTAGATGTAAGTCAACTAATTTAAAATGCTTTTTTAGATCCAAAGAAGTTATCTATGGTTGGTTAGTTGCTTAGTAGTTGCAGCTTCGGTGGCTAGCGGGTGGTAACTCACTTATATTTTTAATTTAATAAACATACACACAATTTAAAAACTAAAAGGCTTGTTATATATTTATATTGAAACTAATACATGTAAAATATTACGTTATCTCCCGTGTCACGTGATGTTACGTGGCCGCCGTGGAAGCCGCGGTCACGTGATGCAAGTCTGTTCCACTTAACCGTTTTCTTTGACCAAGGAAGGACAGTGTCCTCGTAAGTAAGACGCCTGGCCTCGAAAGACATCGCCTCGCGAGGCCAGGCACCTTGACATTGAGAAACACCCACACACATTTACTCTTCTGAGATGATTACAGTCACTGTCACATGACCAAACAAATACACACCACCCCCCTCACCCTTTGAAACAGATAAACAAATGAAAACAAGATGGAAAAAAATTGCTTGTTAACATCGGCCCTGTTTTTTATATCGGACCGATACCGATGTGTTACAAAATGACTAACATCTGCCGATAACGATATTGATGCCGATATATTGTGCATCCCTAGTCCAGAGTGTCTCTCACCCAAGGACTGCTGGAGTTACCGGCTCACAATGAATGAATGAAATTAGAGACGTCCCGTTCCGAGATTGATATCGGAAGTAATTTGATGTCGACCCAAAAACAGTATCAGATTATATCAGACGGCATCAAAAATCTCAGACATAAGCAGTCCGTTAAGGTTCGCATTTTTGCCACCAATGTTTAAGAAAAAAATTGTAATTTTTTCCAATCTCCCTGTTATTGGCTCTTGTTCTCCGACTGAGTAATATCACTTGATTGAGCCTTTCATACATTCCACACTGAAATAGGTAACAGTATGTCTGACTTGTGCTGATATCGTATCAGATTGATATCGGTATCGATCAATACTGAATACTGTAATATTGTATCTGTAACGTGACGGAGGTGCCATTCCACCGAAGGTTTACCCTCTCTCCACAGATGCCTCTGACACAGTACTAAGCTGCATGAGACTGCCTCAAGGTCATGCATTTGCTTCTAAACTGCTTCCTTTCCAGCTCAAGGGAAGAAGGAAGACAAAGGACTCTTTTACATAATCAAAGTGTTAGTCAATAATAAAATGTGAACCAATTTGTGAAATGAAAATATTAATTACTTGATATTATAATCCTACAGAATATAATAAGTAATATAACTTTTAATGTTTCCACTGATCACACGTAAGGTTGAGCCACATCACACATTGCTTTCACTGATCCAATCAGAACCTTCCTTTCTGAAGCGTGGCATAGTGTCTGTGGTGTTTATAATCTGCCAACTTTGATTCGACCAGAAATCAAAACATCCAGATTAATAAAACCAGTCCCCACGCCATCTTAAGGGCAGTTCTCTTCAGTTCTCTACAGTTCACCGCATGCTAAGCGAAGTATCGGACTGGCCATCCGGACTTCCTTTTTTCAAGCAAAGAACCAACAAGCTGGATAAAATCTGTTGCATTTTACCAACCAAGCAATGGTTCCTTTCAGAATAAAAGCTGAACTCACTGACCCACTGGGTCCATCTGATGCTGTCAACCAACTGTCGCTTTTTCCCTGGAGACAATCCAAAGACTAGTCTGTCGTACTGCTGACGCGGTTTCATCGGCTCCGGTACCGAAAGGGGTGTCCGAGGACCTGGCAGTCTGGATCTGTACGGAGGTCTCATCTGAAGGGTATGTGAGGAGCGACAATATGGCGTCTCATGTGTTTATGAAACTCTGATCAAACTCTGATCATAGCTAAAAGCAAAACATCACAACATCATTCACACTTGCTTCTCCGGATGCGAGAGTTCTGATGACACCATCACTCACACATACACCATCCGTCTCACGTCTCATTGACACCAGATCCATTCATCATTTAAGCCCTTTTCAGACAGACATTCTGGAACATTTGTGGACAATTCAATCCGGTTTTTAACTGGAACTGTGTTTTCAGACACACCACTTTTGTTCCGGAACTTGTCCTTTCGGCTGCGCTCACACAGCAGGGAAAAGTTCCAGATGTCTGACGGCGGCGGGGGGTCCGGACTTATGTTAAGAAGAAGAAGAAAATATCATTTCTATAGCACCTCTCAAGATAAAAATCACGAGGGGCTTAAGCATAATTCTGCGCACACGAAGATGCATAAGAGACCTGGATGATGAAGCTCAATGGTTAAAGGAATCACTGAAGCGGTGTGAAGCGCTCCGTCGCACGTCTAGACGGTACCGTAGGAGGCAAGCTGCCGTGGTTCGCCGCATGCTACAGGAGCGAGCTATCTAGGTGAGCACAGCATCCCCCGGTCCCCTCCTCCTCCCCCTCCCCCTTGTCCGGAACTCTACCTCACCAGTCTGAAGCAGCCACCCTGTCCGTAACAAGTCCGGACCTGTTACTAGGGGCTTCGTCTGGTTAAATTCCGGAACACGTTATCCGGATGTTTGTATTCAGACACAAAGGTCTTACGGACAGAGTGCGGAACATTTCCGTTTTTCATGGCCTGTCTGAAGGGGGCTTTAGAGTTAGTCTTGTTTAAAATTGTTTAGAAATAAATCTTCTTAAACGTTTTAAAGGTGACTCTCTCTTCTCTTGTCTCTCACTTAATACAAGTGTTACATAATCCCTGCAATAAAAAGTTCCAATATTCTGGTTTAAATAACCCAACAGTCCGTAAGATTGATTTCTTGTTTACTATGGAATCTTACGTCTTACGGGTCCTTAATTTGATGTAAATTAACTCTTTTATAATCGGAAGTGAAAAACTTGTATCCGGACGTCCCTAAATTAAATCTTTATTTGAACGTTAAAATACCATGAGCTGGGACTTAAAGCAAATATAAGCAGTGAAGACTACAGGACCCGACCCCTGGATGCACCGGAGCTTTTCCATTTCTCTACTTGTGACGTTTGTAAATAAACATTTAATGCAAGACATTTAAGAAGGCGGCTAAAACAACAAATGTTCGTAACTCAGTAAAACACCTAAAAATGGTTTGTTTTAGTGTCGCGGTCTACTGGCCATTAATAAAATGGTACTTTATGTCTAAAAAAAACCGCTCCTGACGCGCCCGCCTAACGACTCCGTCACACCGGACAGGACTCACCCGTCAGCGAGGACACGGCCCAATACTCGGCGCAGATTTCCTTTGCAAATTTCAGGGCGTCCTGTTCGATCCGAGAATACTGAGCAGCAGTCTACAGAACAAAAGAAAAGACAAACACATTTTAAAACAGTCTGACCCGGGCTTTGTGCTTCTGCTGGAACAACTCCCAGTGACAAACGTACACTCAGGTCTTTCTTGGTGCCGACCAGGAACAGCTGGACACCAGTGGGGTCGTTCTCTTTTAGGGCGTCCTCCAGCCACTGCCTGCAGGCCAGAAAACCATAAATCTATTAAACTGGAGAAAAAAAAAGAAAAAATGACAGAAAGTTTACAGAATTATGATTGGTGGGAGTACCTGGCGTGGCCCAAAGAGGCGATGTCATTTAGAGCAAATGTGATTATCACAACTGAGAGGACAGAAACATTGTTTTATCACCAGTTTGGGATAAATTGACTGGTTTCCTGTGTTAAAGCCGACAAATGGAAGACGGCGGCCTCACCCTGAGCTCCTCTGTAGTACGTCGAAGCGATGCATTTGAACCTTTCCTGGCCTGCGGTGTCCCACCTGCAACATGGAACCAGACCTCTGAGCAACACCAGACTGGAGTTTAAAACAGAATAAATAAATAAATAAATAAATAAATACATCTGACTCACAGCTGCAGGCTGAAAGGAACTCCGAGCACCTCGAAGCGCTCCATCTCAAAGTCCACGCCGATCGTTGCCTTGTAGTTCTTATCAAAGGCGTCCTTGCAAAACCTGGAATGAGAAGGAAACGTTTGTGTTGGGCTGTTTCAGAATCAGAACAACACGACCAAATAGTCCGATTTATTCTTTAGTTTCCCAACTTTCTCAGTGTGTCCACTAGAACTTCAACAGCAGGGCTATGCAATTCCAAGCCTCGAGGGCCGGTATTAGGGATGCACCGATACGATACTGGTATCGACACCGATACCGATACCAGTATCGGTATACGTTAACCGATACCAGGAACTGATACCAATGCAGTTGCTTGAAAGTGGCTTCCCTGTAACTTGTCATTTCTGTTCACCTAATATTTTAGTTTTGTGATGATTTCCATTCATATATTTTACTTTTTATCTACCTCACAGTCTTTTCCTGTTGTAAGCAGAGAAGAAAATAAAATCTGTATTCCACATCATTGCATTTTTTTGTGTGGTAGAAGTATCGGTATTGGTCATCGGTATCGGCGAGTACTCAGATCCAAGTATCGGTATCATACCGGTTTGGAAAAAAGTGGTATCATTGCATCCCTGGCCAGCAACCAGCACATTTTGGTTTTAACCCTGCTTCAACACTCAGATTTAATTAGTAGGTGATTGGTTCGGCGTCTGCAGTGATGCGGACGCTGAGCCGATCTGTCGTGGTGAAGAGGGAGCTGAGCCAGAAAGCCAGGCTCTCGATTTACCGGTCGATCTACGTCCCAATCCTCACCTATGGTCATGAGCTTTGGGTAATGACCGAAAGAACGAGATCGCGGATACAAGCGGCTGAAATGAGTTTCCTCCGTAGGGTGGCCGGGCTCAACCTTAGAGATAGGGTGAGGTGCTCGGACATTCGGGAGGGACTCGGAGTAGAACCGCTGCTCCTCCGGATCGAGAGGAGTCAGTTGAGGTGGTTTGGGCATCTGGTCAGGATGCCTTCTGGACGCCTCCCCAGGGAGGTGTTTCGGGCATGTCCTGCCGGCAGGACCCCGGGTCGACCCAGGACACGTTGGAGAGGTTACATCTCCAATCTGGTCCGGGAACGCCTTGGGGTCCTGCCGGAGGAGCTGGTGGAGGTGGCTGGGGAGAGGACGGTCTTGAGCTCCCTAGTTGGGATGCTGCCCCCGCGACCTGGACCCGGATAAGCGGAGGAAGACGACGACGAGGTGATTAACAGGCTTCTGCAGAGCCTGATGAGCTGCTGCAACCACTGAATCTAATGTGTTGGACCTGAGAAACCACTAAAACGTTCTGGATACCAGCCATCAAGCACCAGAATTGAATAGCCCTGTTCTACAGGAATATGTTACAGTCACCCCCTGGTGGCCATGGGTGGTACCGCACCCAGGCTGCTCCTCCGCATCAGCTGAGGAGGTCCATAACCTGGGCAGACTTAGAACTTATAGCTCCATGCTGTAGATCTTTCTTTAAAACACTGAGCAGGTTTGTTTACCTGTTTTCCCGCTCAAACGTCAGCCTGAGGAAGTTTGCAGCCGCAAATGAAACGTGGCGGGAAAACAGGTAAACAAAACTGCTGTGTTTTAAAAAAGAACTACAGCATGGAATTAGAGATACGACTCAGCAAGAACACACCCAAGATGTTCTTAGAACTTATAGGTCTGGGAACGCTTTGGGATTTCCCATCAGGAGCCACAGGGGGAAGCCACACCCTCTCAGGTATGTTTCTGCTCACCTGTTAATCAGGCAGGTTTTCCCCACAGCCAGATCACCCACAACAATCACCTTCGATATTTTAAATCTGAAATAAAAACAGAAACGAGTTACAAAAATAAAACACAGTAACATCAGACCATTTAGTGTTGCAGCTCCCACCCCACGGTGCCGGTCCGCTGCTCCTGGCAGGCGGTCTTCACTTTGTTACTAAAGTCATTCTCAGTGTGGAGAGCAGCCTCTTTTCTGAAAGACTTAAGAAAACAAGCAACTGGAGGTGATTTAACTGTTGCTTTGGTTTAAAACCAGCCAGCAGCCATGACGGTTCTACCTGAGGGAGCTGAGGGATGACTCGGTCCCGTCGAACAGGAGGAAGAACGCTCATGGCTGAAACTCTGACTGACATGACGCCTTAGGAAGAACAAGAACTAGACAAAAGTAAACAAGGAAAGCGTTGATATCCCATTTCCTAGTAATTCTAAGCTGTAACTGGGTTTGCATCACCAGTCTGCATGAAAACAAACTTTAATATTTATAAATTTCCCACATCTTGTTTATTCCAGCAGGACTGTTATGATTTACCAGTTAGCATGCTACAGCTAATAACACAGAGAACCATGTTTTTATTGGCATTAAGGTTTGTAAAAAATAATGAAAGCTATGAAATGTTTGATTATAGTTTTAATAAAACACTCACTATGTGAACATCTTAGGTGTGTTCTTGCTGTGTCGTGGTTCTAATTCCATGCTTTTGTTCTTTTTAAACACAGAAACAGTGATGCGTCAGCCTGAAGAAGCCGGCAGCCGTCGGTGAAACTGTAGCTACAAAACAGGTAAACAAAACTGTTTCTGTGTTTAAAAAGAACGAAAGCATGGAACTCACTATGTGGCTCCACTCAGACTAGCTGTTAGTTCATCTATCCATCTGTGTTTCTCCAAACTGAGGTTATTCATTGTTATCTAGAAAGATATTGACTAATAACATCTATGCTAAGTTTATCTATCTATCTATCTATCTATCTATCTATCTATCTATCTATCTATCTATATATATATATATATATATATATATATATATATATCGGTCTTCCTGATGGTTTCCCGCAAATGGAACGCAGCCTGTTATTTGTTACCCATGGCAACTGAAACTGTGATCGCCTTGCTGTCTGTTTTAATCCCTTTGTTCATCAAAGACCCGCTGCTCCAGGAGCCCAATTTACTTTTCGAGGCTTTGTTTTAACGCGTATCTGGAGCCTGGAGCCTTCGAACCAAAGTTAGGAGTAAAACCGCAGAAGTTAAACCCGAAGGAATGAAGGTCCGGGGGCTAAAAACTAAGTTTCGAGCAAAGCAGCGTGGAGCCGCAGGAGAGATGTTACAGGATACCTCCGCGAGTCAAGATGGGTCCCTCCTGTCTGCTGCGTTTCTTCTTTCATGCAGAAGACGCTTTAGGACGCGTCGGTGCAGCCCGGAGTCATTGTTCTCTGTGTGGATGTGGAGATCTGAGGTGGATCCACGGAAGTTGAGGAACAGCCGGCAAAAACCTGAACAGCTGCTGACTCAGATCCCAGGATTCTGTCGTTCCTCCCACATTCTACCTGCTCTGCCCCCTGCTGGAACATCCCGGAACTACAACCACTGCACAATATAATATAATATAATATAATATAATATAATATAATATAATATAATATAATATAATATAATATAATATAATATAATATAATGCAACGTAATATAATATAATATAATATGATATAATGTAATGTAATGTAAGATGTAGTATAGTATAATATAAGACAATGTAATGTAATGTAGTATAGTACAGTATAGTACTATAATATAATGTATTGTAGTATAGTTTGGTATAGTATAGTACAATATGTAGTATAGTATAATGTTATGTAATTTAATATGGTATGGTACTGTATTATATGTAGAATAGTTTAATATATTTGGAATGTAACATAAGATAATGTAATGTAGTATCGTATGGTATGGTATAGTTCAATATGTAGTATAGTATAGCACAATATAATGTAATGTAGTATAGTATAGTATAGTACAATATGTAGTGTAGTACAACGTAATGTAATATAGTATAGTATGGTACTGTGTAATATATAGTATAGTCTAATATATTTGTAATGTAATATAAGATAATATAATGTAGTATAGTATGGTATAGTATAGTATAATATAATATAATGAAATGTATAATATCTTATAATGTTATGTAAAATAATGTAATGTGGTATAGTATATTATAGTATAGTATAGTATAGTATAATATAATGAAATGTACAGTATTTTATAATGTTATGTAAAATAATGTAATGTAGTATATTATAGTATATTATAGTAAAGTAAAGTATAGTATAGTATACTATAGTATGGTATAATATAGTATAGTATAGTATAGTATAGTATAGTATAATATAGTTAGTATAGTATAATGTAATGTATAGAAGATATATAGAAAATAGAAGAATTTAAAGCAAAACTAAGCATCATTAAACACTTTTCTTTTATTCACTCAATGATCGAAAATATGAGTCTTGACCCTAAAAGTCGTTTTCAAACAACATCTTGCATTATTGTCTCCATGTTCAAATGAATCCATGGTTCGTTGTGCTGCTGGGGGTATTTCTGCTCGTTCACACATTATTGTTGTCTGGACTTGTCACTGAAAGGCACTGTGGCTTTAAAAAGGCACAGGTCAGATGCACATCTGCTCGGACTTTTCTTGGCATCGGCTGAAATAGAAAATGGAATTTACACCGATCAGCCACGATATTACGACCACAAACCCCTCGTTTTGTCACAGTGCAAAATGCAGCTAGAAAAACATTTTGATATTAGGATGTTTTCATCCAAAAACCTTACTCAGGATGGCAGTGGACGCAACACAAACCACCCAGGAAACTAGCTGAGGTGTTGACCTGGCCTCCAAACTCCACAGATGACTATCTAATGGGATCTGACTCATCTGTAAGAAGACAGTCCCCTCTCAGTCCCCTCCGATAGACCATCATCTCTGACTGTGGCTGATTGGCGTACTTGTGTTTCATGTCACAAGTGATTACAACTTGAGGAAAGATCTGGGAAAGTAAACAGCGGAGTTTGAAAAATACATCACGAGGAATGCTCAGAAAATATGTTTACATTTAGTGCTTTGTGTCCATGTTGGGGGGGGGGGGGTCACCTGACTGTGCTGTAAATCAAAGGCAGCAGTCAGACGGCAGGGAGATCCAGCTTCATCTCCACCAGAGTCCGACAGATTTATCAGACGGTCCTGCATCGTATGGGTCAGCACTCCGGTTGGTCCTTGTCTACTCAGTGTTTCACGTACAAAACTCCTTTATTTACTCCAACATCTCTTCAGCCCTAAATAGAGCAGGAGGCTTCATAGAGACGCGAGATTTGGTCCACAAATAAACACAATGAACAAACACATCAAAACACGACATTAAATCTGAGAGACGTCCAAAGACAAGTCCAGTCCTCCCCATGAAGACGCTAAACGTTCGGAAACAGCTAGTTAGTCTACGGGAAAAAAAATAAACAAAAAACAAGCAAAATGCATTGCCTGATCCAGATGTAATCATCTTAAATATCCTAATGGACAAGAGGAAGTTATTCACAAATGTTCGCAATGACATCACACTATGATTAAATAAAGTCTCCTCACACATCTGATAGACCAAACAATGGCAACCATCAAAATCGGGTAAAAAAAAATTCCACCTAGCACCTTTAAGTTTCCAGTGATGCATGTATTAAAAAGTAGAATGCCGTTTTTATTCTGCATAAATGTCCTTCTGAGAGTTTCAGATAAAATACCGACCTTCGTCTGTCAGCTGATCGGAAGGTTAGCTGCTTCAAATTGAACCAGTTGACCTTTTAAAATATGTTTTGCAAATAACTAGCAGGGAATCGTCTTGGGCCCAATATTACCAACAATGTCAAATTATCGCTTCAACAGACAAAATTGATTATTTATATATTTAAGAAATCAATTGAAATTTGAGATTTTGTGAGCATATTAAAAGCCTCAAAACAACATCAGTTAGTCTGGTTCAATAAATATTTAGCCGTTTGTGAAACAAAAGCAAAGCTAATACATTGATTAACACTTACAAAAACAACTAATTAACACTATATAATTTATTTATATAATCTAATGGTGGCCTGTGGTTAATGCTAATCTTTCTGTGGGGTCAACATGAGAAAGTTACTTTCTGTGTGTTCAGTGGAAATCGATCGGTCAAACTGTTGACGTGGTAATAAACTTTAAAGTAACACTAAGTCATTTTTTAAACTGTAGGCTAGAGCTTTAACACTGAACTCTGAGATTGTTGAGTTAGAAACTTGACCATTTTCGTATCTGACACCACTCTGCAGCCCTCTACTGGCCACATGCAGAACTCTATTGGTGCTCTATGAGGGAGCTTTTTACCTGCTTTATGGCTGTTAGCTGTTATGCTAGTAGTTAGCCTTTTTCAGTCAGCTGATCGTCAGTAAAAAGCACAAGAAGAAGAAATGGAACAAGTTTGCTTTGTTGTTGGCATCATGATAGAGCCTGGAAGTAAAAGTAAGAGAGCCATGTCTTTGGAGGTGAAGCAAAGAGCTAAAACCAGAGTGAACATTGTTGTGTCCTACACCAGAGAAGTTAAAGAATTCTACAAAATCACGCACTGATGGTGATGTGGCTTTGTTACTACTGGACTTGTGAGTAATGTTTTTGTCCAACACTTCGTGGTTTATTTTAGTATTAGTCGGCTCGTGTTAGAGTTAGCTTATTGTTAGCATTAGCTACAGCAGGCTGCAGATGTAATTTCACTTTCAACCAGCAGGGCAGAGGAGCGGGAAACTGCTCAGTGTTACTTTAAAGGCTAGCTTATGAAGCTACTTTTTCAAAAGTAAAATGAAAAAAGAAACAAAAACTTTATTTACATCATTCTGCTCATTAAAACTGTTAAAACGAGTACTCCCAGATTCACCTGACTGGTAATCTCTGCAAGTTTAAATCCCCTGAAAAGCCGCCCCATGGTTAAAAGTAGTTTCAGCTGAAATCCTATTTTCCAAACGCTTTATTGGTCGTCATTCTGATAAATCATTGATAAATGTGCCATAAGCAGTGTCACTGCAACGGTTGTAAAATATTTTCATCTTCCCGACCAAGAGGTAAGGTTGATCATTTTCAGTGCAAATTTGAAACGTTTTCGTTTTGTTGAGAGCAGCACCTGAAAACGGCCGCGTGTTGTTCCACCTGGAGTTTGTTCTTTGGCAGTGAGTCACGTGAGGGGATCTGTCGTTAGGAATAATACTAACAAAAATACAAACTTCCACCTAATAGAAACGGTCCAGTAAACTTTTCCCGGTCAGTCATTCAGAAATTTCTTTGAATTGTTGTTGTGCGTGCCGTTTTGCCCCACGTAGTGTTTACTCCGTGGCAGGAAGTCAGCGCGGAGCAAACGGTAGAAATAAATCAGGATCATGATGTTCATCACCATTATGGTAACGAGAAAGTATCCACCCTGTTCCAGAATGGGGAGGTTATGGATGATGTACCAGGTGAGGTAGAACTGGGTGCTCAGGCGGAACGTGATGTAGGTGAAGAGGTTGATGAGCTTGTTGAGGCGGTATGTGGGGGAGGCCTGGGCACCCGCCAGCTTCAGCATCAGCCTCAGGTGGAGGGTGATGCTGTTGACCTCCACGAAGAGGGCGATCACACCACCGGCGATGTACAGCTGCGTGTAGAGGGCGTAGAGGAAACACCAGATCACCTGAGGACGAAAATGGAAAATTGGGTTTGATTTTATTTTTATTTAGGAAACAGAAAGCCTCAATAAGACTCTTCGCTGTGCAAAAACAAAATGTCCAAAATAACGTTGAACTGAGATCCCGAGAGGGTTTGATGGACAATCATGCGAAGTTTTACGTGTCAACTTGTTTTATGTCAGTTTTGATGATTTTAACATCTGAGTGTTTTACAGTTTTCACAGAGAGAAAGGCACTCTGAATAGATATGAAAGTCAATGGGACATAATTAGGGTGCAATCTGGGACACAATCTGACAGAACAATTAACGCTGGCTGAAAGGTAAGAGTTCCTACGCGTCGATACATAATTCATATATGTGACCCTGAGGATGTGGAAAGAAGAGCCTCTTGTTTGAGGTTGTTTGTTTTTAAAGCTGACATTTGTCATGTTCTGTGTCCCTTTGTTCCCCAGCCCCTCCAGTTCCCACTCCAGGTTCTCCTTTTGTGTTTCATAGCGCCCTCATGTGTCCTTTGTCTGCATCTCATTTATGTGTCTCCTGTGTTCCTTTAGTCTTCTCCAGTCACCCCTCTGCAGCCAGTCATCCTCTGCAGTGTTTATAGTTTCAGCTTTTCATTTTTATTAGTCTCTTTAATATGTTTTGTCCCACCAGTTTTTGTAGTTCTCCTTCCCTTTAGAATTTTGGTTATATGGGTGCTTTTCTGTTTTTAGGTTCATTCTTAGGTCATGTTAGTTTCTTCCCTGATTAGTCATTGCTTTCACCTGGTCCTCCCCCCACACTCCACACACCTGCAGCTCTTCTGCCTTTCCATTATGCCCCAGTGTATTTAAGCCCTGTCTTGTCTCTGTGTCTTGTCGGTCCATTGTTGTTGTTTGTGGTAATCCTGTCAGTCTCTCGTTTCTAGTCTCTAGTGTTTCCCGAGTCTCGTTGGATCTCTAGATTATTTTGGATTTTGGACATTTTTGGACTTTGGCTCCCTGCCCCTGGATTTATTCTTCGTTTCATCCTTCAAAATTAAAGGATTTTACTTTACATCATCTCCTGCCTCATGTCATCCTGGGTTTCTGCACTTTGGGTTCTAACATCCCTCCAAAACCTGACAACATTGCTCTCACTCTGGCAGGTCATGTGACCTTGAATGCTCGGCTGTAAAAAAATAAGTCACAAAATAAATGCAATCAAACTGTTCCCACAGCTCCAAATTTTGGATTACATCCACGAATGATTCATCAAAACGTAGGAAATTTGGTCGCATTTCTGCCAGTTTGACTCTTATTTCTGCAGAAGTTTTCAAATAGCTACTTTTTTATGTTAAACCCAGTCACTTGTAGGGATGCTTGATATTGGCTTGTTTACAATATACCAATACCGCTGACTCTTAATATCCGATACCAATACAAATCGATAGCGATATATACAGGGTCCCCTTCTCATAAAAAGAAAACTAAATCTTTTTAGGTTACTAACATCACATATTCCTATCATGCTTAAACTTTAAATATTATCTATGCTAAATGACAACTACTTCAATTTAAGTTAGTAACAGAAAATGTGGCATATTTATTTTTGTCTCCAACAGCAGCTGAACCTTATTCTCCCCAAGTGTGATGCTAAGATGTGTGTACTACTTATATGTTTGTTTATTTTCTGTAAATTATAGTGATAAAATATAAAGATTCTTGTTTTTTTAAAGAGCAAGTTTTTCCTGATAAACTAAATAAATGTGTGTCTAATCGTGCTGCAGACACATGTAGTCAATAGTGCCTAAAGTGCATTTTAGTTAAAATTTAAATTTTCTGCCTAAAACTGTCAGTTTTGTGCCGTTGTCAGGTAAAAACTCTGCACTGCATTTGAATTTAAATCTGCCATCGCTATTGGCTAAGAGGTGACCTAGAACGTTAGCTGGTATCATATGATGTCACAATGTCATTGTGAGCCTGTGTGTGTGTATATTTGTTAGTGGCTCCGCCCTCTCAGTCTGCTAGGCAACAGCATTTGTTGCATTTTTCAAACAAGAAGTGGGAGTGGAGCAAGACTTTGGTAGGGAGTGACTTGCTCTTTAAGTCGTTTGTTAGCTGGCTAGCTACCCATAGATATGTGCTCTGAGGACAGTCCACGTTCACTACACAGAGAAAATTTGTACTTCACAAGTTGTACCAAATAACTAAAATATCTGGAAAACTTTACCTCAGATCTGTTATGTTTTGACATTTAAAGAGAGAGGAGAAGTAGCTGAAGAGTTTGAGGCATAAAATGTAAAAAATGTGTCATTAAAAGAGCGAAAACCGATACCTATATTTTCCTGATATTAAATTTTAATGCCGATAAAGGCCAATATTAATAGTAGACAGATAATATCGAACATCTCTTCTTGTGACCACTTAAACTTTCAATTCTGTTTCCAGGTTAAAGCGTAGTGATGCAAGACTGTACATTATTTTCTCATGAGGTGTTATTTGGTGGGTCTTTTTGAAAATCACATCGCCATGGAAACTCTAAACGCCAATAAAAATAACCGCACGTCTCCGCCAAACCGAGCTGGTTGATTAGATGTATGGTTACATGTTTCTTTTCAAGCTGCAGCAGTGTATGTAAGAATAAATAACAACAACAGGTGACCCCCATGACGAGCCCATGCCATGCATATTTCAGGCTCCTCATAGGAATAAACTGTACCTTATGTACCCTTTTGTGTAGTATAAACTAAAAATGCAGTCTTACCATCGCATGATGGAGTAGGAATTCCCATGACCCTCTAGCGTGCCCCGTCAAGATGATGTCACCTGCATCCTGCACAAAATATCCTGAGAAGAAAACATTTTATATTATTAGAAGTTTGCTTCTGATACTCGATCAGCTGCTTAATACGTTCATTATTTAGTCAGGGTATGACGTAAAAACTACTAAAGATGATCTTATGAATGCATCGCTCTCATAATAAAAATATAACTTTGTACAATAATAATAATAATAATAATAATAATGTATGCATAAATGCACATTTGATGTGACACACCGGCTGTAACGGGCTGTGATAAATCAGATTTAACACATTTTCTGGCGTAAGCGGGCTTTTTTTTTCCGGAACTGCGCTGCTCTGGGTGGCTGCATGTTGGAGTAGCTCTGTTGACTGTAAGTTTTGCCTTTTCTTGGGCATTTTTTCTTCTAGTTCCTCAAGAAAAACTGTATTTTTGTGGACACTTTACTTTTCTGTTTCTGGTGCTGTGAAGCTTGGAGGATTTTTACTGCTATTTTTTTAGCTTTTTACACTTTTTGAGCATTTGTTATGATGCGTAACCATGGCAACAAGCTGGTTTACAATCGGGAGCAGCTTATTAACATCGGAAAGGCTGAAATAATACCTCAAATGAAGCCACAAATCCCAAATGAGCTAAAACGCAAGAACCGTGGGTGACAAGCGGGAGCAAAACGGAGACAGAGAAAGAGGAAATTCAAACCATCTCTTCCATCGATCATAATGGGCAATGTGAGATCACTGGCCAACAAGATGGAGGAACTCCAAGCCCTTTCAAGGACTCAGCCAGAGTTTTGGCAGTTTCGGAACCGCTGGAGGAGATAATGCAAAGAAGGATTCTCCAGAGAATCAAGAAAATGATGGACAACCCTGAGCATTCTCTTCACAAGACTGTCCGACAACGGAAGAGTGTCTTCAGTCAGAGGCTTCTTCAGTTTGGCTGCAACACTGACCGCTACTGGAGATCCTTCCTGCCAACAGCCATTGTAATATACAACAACTCTTTGATGACTTCATTGTTATTATAATTCTGAGCTAATACAGCAATCAATTTCCCTCTGGGATTAATAAAGTATTTTTGAATTGAATTGAATTGAATGAAAGGTAAATCCTGTCATAGGGAAACGGAGCAGATCACGCTATAACAGTTTTAACTGGTTTAACCCGAATTGTAAAACGACGAGGTGTGACTACAGACTGAACAGGAAACCACCGATGCTCCTGTGAAGTAAAACAAAGTGTTAAATCTGTTCTTCACTCCTACAAACTGGGTTTCAATGTTTATTACAATTAGTAAGAAAATAAGTAGCTAACAGGTGAAATATACACTTTTCTATGAAGGCCTAAAAACAAGAAAATTCAAGCATCTGGCTTCACCGTGCGGAACCGAGACACTAGAATATCAAAAGCCTTCCCCGTCATGATGTCTGAGAAATGCAGACTGAGCAGTTTTCATGTGGTTATTAAATCATGTCAGCCCAGTTCAGAGGGAGGCGTTCTCCTGACGGACAACCTGTCTGTGCGTCTGGACGCCTGTCAGCATACAAAACTTCTAGTTCCTGGCGTGGTCGGCCTCAGCGGAGCCACTAGCAACTGTTAGAGGTGACCTCCGCTGACCTGCATTCTCGTGGCAACATGAAAAAAAGACGAACACAAAACCAGACCAAAGAGAATCAGAGAGATTGTTTTTGGTGGCTTTGGGGTTGAAGAGGAGATGCCCTTCGGATCATTCTAAGAATAATCAGGTGTGTGTGTGTGTGTGTGTGGGGGGGGGGGGGGGGGTTGTAGAACTCTAAAGGTTGGTTTATGCTTGACGCGTCCGCGAGGTCCGCACGGCTCCGCGCGGAAAAGTTGCATCATTTTGCGTCATTTTAACAACCACGCCCCTCCACCGCGTCTCCGCACGGCCCGAGATTTCCGCAACGCGCACCTCGGAAATTTTCTAACCACGCGGACGGTCGGACGCGGAAAAACATGGCGGACCGGCACGGCAGAGGTTCGTAAATACAGACATTTGTATGATTCAGCTCTCAGAGATCACCGTGATCAACATGTTGTTAATAATTCTTGGAGAGAAATAGCTCGCACTGTCGGAAAAGACGAGAACGCTGTTAAAAATGCTGAAATACCATGTTGTAAACAGTGATTTCTACTTCTACTATGGTGTAGTGTTGGATGCATGCCGTAGAGCTCCATGCTGCCCCCTACAGTTTGGGAGAATATTGGCTCACCGCAGAGACGAGCCACACAAACCATAAACGCTGCAAGTTGTGAAGCGCGTTCCAGCCGCGAGCCGCATCACCGCGCGGAAAGTGAATGCGTCAAGCATAAACCAAGCTTTAGAGGGTGCTATACAATTGCAGGCCATTTACCATTTACAATGGGCCACTGAGTTTTTCATGCAGGCTGAACATAAATGGTCTCCTACTCCTATCTCCTGAATTAGCTGAAATAAACGGTGAAACAGCACGCGGGGTTCGAGGGCCACATAGAGGGGGCCAGCGGGCCGCTTACCGAGTACCGCTGCTCTAAGATTAGAAAAGCCTGACAGGTCTGTGTCACTTAACATTCATGGACTCACCCATCTTGATTCACAATGGGGAAGGCTGTTGTTGGTTTAGCGTACAGGAAACAGCAGAGAACGTATCAGCTAGTAGAAGCTAACTGTTAGCATGATCTACCCCACTACACAGCAGAACTCCTCCAGGCTTGAGTTAACAGTTAAACAGAGTCAGTGGTAGAGTTGCGCTGCTGTTAGCCAATCAGACGAAATTCAATTAAAAGATACTTTATTAATCCCAGAGGGAAATTAGAGTTTCAGTACACACAATTCTGAGATCAGACATACATGGGCAAAAACACATGACAAGAATTGGTGACTGTGATCATTTGCCACCCGAGTCTCGCTACCTTAATAGAGATCAGAGGGTTTACATGAGGATTGGTTCAGGTGGAGGAAAAAGAGGCACTTCAGAGTTACCCGCCACAGGGAGGGTAGCTTTGCTATGCAAAAAACACCTCAGACAGAAATGCAACAGACTTCAGACATTACACAACATAAGTGTCCACTAGGTGGGGCGGTAGGGTTAGGGACTGTCCACACGTCAGCAGCGGCAGCCACAATAAGCAGCGCTCGTCACCTCCGTTTGGACAGGGGGAGGAGGTTGTTGGGTTTTAGAGAGCGCAGTAACTCCTGGAGTGATTCAACGGCCTTCGGTCACAGTCCCGCCCAGGCTGGGATAGGGAGACAGAGTTGCAATGGCGACGGCAGCATTCCACATTTCTTCTGAGGGGGGAGTAATCGCTTCAGCCTCACAGGCTCAAGGGCACCAGATTCAGATAAGAACTTGTTTTGGGGCCAGACAGAGATAATTTCCTCTCTGTCTTAAAGTTCTGTTGGTCCTCAACCCCTCTCAATCCAATAATGGCGTAATTAATCAATCCCAATCCGTGCTGATCTGTCCACTCGCTCCTTGATGGAATCCACCTTCTGTGCCAGAGTCTGAATCTCAGCCAAAGTTCCAAGCTTACGACTCATCTCGACAATTATATGAGTTTGTGTGTTCACAGAGCGGTGTAATCCATCCCTGAGCTCCGGGATTGAGCCAATATTCCTCGACAGCTCATTCATTTTCCGGTATGCCAGGTAACCTCCTAGGCCAAAGAGCAGGACACCTGACACCAACACCACGAATATCCAGACGTCTTCAGAATCCTCTACAGACAGTTGGGAGAGGCAGACCAGGTTCCACTGTTTCCAGGAGGCCATGATATGCCCAACTGGATCTGTCCCAGAGGGGCATCCAGGAGCCCCTTTCTACCGTTCTCATCGTTGAAAAATGTTTGTCAATCGCGTTGAGAGACCAACTGACCAGATCCATTTTAGTAATTTCAGTTTCCAGAAAAAATGCAAAAGTGCCGTACACCCAGAGACAAAGAGCCTTGGGATAAGATAGGGAGGAGAGGAGGAAAAAAGCATCTGTACTCCAAGAGCCATCAGGAAATAAGACTCCAAACCTGCTGTCTGAACCTGAACCTCTCCTCTGATGAGGCATTTATTACTCGTCCTTAAGACGAGTGCAAAGGTATTGATTAAACGAGTGTCCCACCCCATCTTTTAGTCCCCCCACCCCCATCCCACCCCCTTTTCACAGAAGAACTGAATATTCAGATTTTTGAAAGCTGTGAAACACTCAAACCCTCTCCAGAACTTCACTGATCACCCCGACGATGCGTTCACTGACCTGTGGAGACACAGACGAGCAGGTAGGACAGAGGGGTGTGATAGGAGTGGATGTTTCTCAGCGTCTCAGGCCAGATCACCACGCTGCAGAGGAACACACGTTATGAAAGGATGAGTCTGTCATCCCTTCACTCAGACAGAAAGGCTGACTAAGCAGAAACATCAGCTGCTATTTGCCTTTTAAACCCCCTGAATGAAGAATGCCTGCTATTATTTATCTTTTTTTACTCCCTTTTACATTTATGGTTTGTAACTTCAACCTCCTTTTGTAAACAGACCGTGATGAAATCAGTCACTAAATGAATGAATATGACAACTTCCTCTGACCCGTTAACCGTTTTCCCTTAGCTCGAAGCTCTGAACCCTGCTCACACATCACACATCTGACTCATACGACTAGTAGTGACTTGAACTTGCAGCCAGCTTAAATCTTTGATCCTCCTGTCAGCGTTTAATGTCACAATCATGAGTCGTTAGCAGCGCGGTCCCACCCCAGAAAAGCTGTTTGTACGTGCTTTCACTGTCAGCCAGCTGGTTTTTCCAGTTGATGAATCTGACAGCGAACCAAGATTCTGTCTGAGGATAAAAAACAAACGAGCTGATGAACGTATTTAACAGGAAAAGCAGCCCTCTCTCGCTCTGCGTTGGTATTTACCATCGTATTTACCCTCCCCACTTTCGGATGCCATTGTCTCCCCCGTCCCTGTCTCAGTCTGAGCATGCCCTTCCTCTCCTGGCTGCCACTGACTGTTACAGCCACACACACACACACACACACACACACACACACACACACACACACACACACACACACACACACACACACACACACACACATCATGTGGACCTGAATAGACAATGCCTCCCCACTGTGCATGGAGGCCCGGCTGGGCAGATGTTTGCCTCTGGATGGACACTCACCAGCTCACGGCCCAGGTCCCGGTCAGCAGGGAGTGCACCATGGACACTGAGAGGTTCCTCCACTTCCAGGAGCGGAAGTCATCCTGCTTCACCACCTTGGGTACGGGCAGCCTCTGCAGCAGCCGGTGGACCACCCTGAAGAGCAGAGAACAAACCAGGACCGAAGGGCCTGGGTGGCTCTTCAGCTCTGAAATCAGAGCCTCCATCCTCTCCTCAACGCCCCTGGTCCTTGTGAGCACGGATCACAATCCCTCCTTGTCCTTTCCCCCCTCTTCCTACGCCCCTGTCAGCCAGTCCTCGGCCCGGTGATGGACGGATGTTTGCGGCTGGCTGCGGTGATGGGATCGTTGTCTGTGCCGGCTCCAAACCTCCGCTGAGCGGATGTTCCCTTTGTTCTCCTCACGTTCTCCGTCCGCAGAGTGGGTCTGGGAGGGGGTTCCCTCGTCGGATCATTCCAGAGCGACGGAGTGTGCGGCTCTCAGCTCGCAGTCCGTCTGTGCGGAATGACGGAGGAGTGGCGGAGGGGGGTGGTGTCGTGGCTGCTCCCTTGGCTCACAGAAACAAGGAGGGGCAGAAACCAAGATCACGTTATGCCCGGATTTAAATCCCAAAGCTGCGGCGCAAAAAATGTGGTTTTGGGACGAGGGCTTGTGGAAATAAACCAAACAGCCACACGGGAGCTCCTGGATTACCCTGAGGCATGTGCGCATGTGGCGCACTGTGCGTAAAAAGCCAAATCGCTGCGTCAAAAATAGTGAAACGTTGTTTTTCCTATTCTCCTCTGATCAGATTCAGTTCACATTTTCAACAGTTTACCCAAATCTCAGAGGGAAGATGTGCCTACGGGCAGGTTTAGGCAGCAAGTCGCGCAAATAACAGAAACCGCTCATTGGAATAAATAACAATAACATGTTCTAGGTGCGTTTGATGTAATTGTCAGATTAATTTTTCCTGAGTTAAAAGAGAGAACATGCGTCTAAAAAAACCGAAGTTCAACAACATGCTCACACTTAAAGATGGTTGATGACTGGGTCAAAGGGTCAAATCACCTTTTTTTGAGTTTCATGACCTTTTGACTCCCAGAAACCTTTCTTCACTTCATGTGTAAACTCTCACCCTGAGAACTTGAACTTTGACACGTCCATTAAATCTGTTAGCCGACTGTGACGTGTGGTTATTTCATGATGTGACGTTCAATTTGTCCTCAACTGTTTAAAACCTGTAATAATAATAATACCAGTAATAATAATAACTGTTGGCTATATCAATCACTCACGAGTTATATGTTTTATTTATTAGGTTTAACTATGTAAACAAATTATAATGAAAATAAGTAAAATTTGCAATTCTCTGACTCTCCACCAGAGGGCAAAATACTTAAACGTTCAGGTTTCTGTCTCAACCCTCTCAGGCTCAAAATAAGTTTTGATAAAAGGACGAACAACTAGCCTTCAGCGGTACTTCTGAGTTTAAAATGCTCATGAAACACATGTGTGGAGTAACCAGGTAGGTAGGTTTTAACGTTGCAAATCTGCAACCCCTGCCTCCAGAGGGTTAAGATTTTTATTTATTTATTCCAGGCCTAAATCTTCTGGTCCTCTGTGGCACGTAACAACATCAGTGATCAGGAGAACTTGTGAATGATTTGTGTAATTCTTAAGACTTTTGCTAATGAGAGAGCAGACGGAGTTGCCATGTCTTCTACTGGAATATAAATCATGAACGGGATTTTTCTGGAAAGTGATGTTGAAGCACATTGACCTTCTGGTGGGGCATTCCCTGGCCAGCCTGCCGTTCAATATGTCCTGGGTCAACCTGGGAGGTTCCTGCTGACCGGGCACCCAAGAAACACCTCCGCTGGGAGGTGTCCAGGGAGCATCCAAATGCTAGAACCCCCTCAGCTGTCTCTTCGCAACCTGGGGGGGCAGCGGCTCTACGCTGAGTCCCTCCTGGGTGTCTGAGCTTCTCACCCTATGAGTTAGCTGACTTAGGGCGGCTCTGCTGGAGTCCAGAGCGATGTCCATGTTTCCTGACGGTCCCTACAGGTTTAGGGACACGATCACATCTGCAAACACGTGTGGACTTGAGCGACCATGTCCCCTGTAGTCCCCTAAGAGTAAAGAGCTGGTCACACCTCCAGGATGAAAACCATGTTTCTTCTCCTCAACCCTACCCAAGATCCAGTTGACCCTCCCCGCAACGTTGGAGTAGATCTCATGTAGTTGAAACCTGAAACACATCCTCTGGTTCACTCTACAGGCACCACCCCGATGTCCATACAACGCCGCAGAACCGGGTCAACCAAGGCAGCCCTTGAGATGTCCATGAACCTTATCAACCCCAGAGCTCTTCTTTAGAAGTTTAACCACCTCAGCAGCTGCTGCTCCAAGGATGGATCCATCCTTGAATCCCACACCTCTGGTTCCTTCCTAGGAATATGTTTCGGTGGGATTGAGGAGCTCCTCGAACCACCCAACTAAATCCCTAGTGGACCTCAGCACCTCTCTGTGGAAAGTGTGAGCGAGTTGCACCTTCTTTAGCCTCACGGCTCCCCTAAACTCTATTATTTATTACTTTTCACATCATCATAAATGTCTTTTGCAAAACAACAAAAACAAATCTTAATGAATTTTCCGAATCCCTCTTCATCCCACCATGAGAGGGCAGCGGAGCCTCACCAGAGGAGTGAACAGCATAAGTTCCACGTTACGCCACCAGAGGGCGCACTTTACAAACAATAAGATCCATTCTGGAAAAGGTCTGCTAGAAAATTCCTTGTGGTTTAGTGTTTCCCATTGACTTCTTGTAACATGATGCAAAAACCACAGTTGAACTTACAGACCTCATAGCATTTTTATACGTCTGACATTTCATGCATGCAGTGAGACAAGGAGTGCCATTTGCGCCCATCTAGAGGCTCTGTGGAACACAACACCCTGCTTTGAGCGTGAAACTCAAGGCTGGAGCCTCTGTTTCATGGTTATTTCTGCTGTGGTGACAGATGATGAGAGACTTTCTCTCCTTTGTTTTGTTAAAACATCAGAAACCTGTAATTCAACATAGTGTAGATTTTTTTTAAAGGGAGCAGCAGGTGCAAAAGGTGAAAGGCCTTTGGAGGTGTTTTATGTAATCTGTTTAAAACGGGAATGGTGTGGCTTGTAGCCGGGTTTTATTGATCTCTGGGTGGTTTTTGTTTCCCCTGAGGGTTGCTGAGCTGTGAAGGCTCTGCTCAGAAACAGAAAACCAATAGATGCTTGGTTTCCAGCTGAAGTCGTCTAACCAAACACACCAACAAGCATTATCGAGAGAGTACAAAATTAAAAAAATGTCGTGACTAATTGAAAACACTTCCTTGTGTTTACTGGCAACGGCAATAAAGTCATAGGAAAACTAGATATGCATGTTGCGAAACAGCCTGGCAGTTTTTCCTGTAATGTGTTGAAGGTGTACGTCTTTTCTCGTCTTCAATATCCTCATAACTATTCACAGGTTAAACGTAAAAAAGCTCTGAGCTCAGCCATGTTGTTGCCTTTTCTGTTTATCTCAGTCATGATTTTTAAATACCCATGAAGCTCTGAACCATAACGAGACATTCTGAAAAAGGACTTCTCTTTGTTTCACTCTTAAAAGTTATCTGACAGCCAGTGTCTTACAAGACACGTAAGACACTTTAACACGTTGGCAACATCTGTGCCATTTTCTCCTAGAATCGGGATATACAACTGTAAGTCATCGGCGTAACAGGGAAAAAGAAACCCCAAAATAATGCAGGAGACGGCTGAGTGGGGTTAGATAAATGGAGAACAGCAGTGGCCCCAGAACAGACCCTTGGGGGGCTCCATACCATACCATCCGTGGTTCTGATAAACAGTTGTTAAAGGGAACCTTTTGCCTTCTCTTAGTGAGATATGATCATAGCCATAAATGGCCTATTGCGTTACACCAGTTTCATTCTCCAGCCTAGCTAACAGAATACCATGGTCAGCGGTGTCCCAGTGTGTCAGACATGAACCCTTAATGCTTAGATAAATAAATAAAAATAAATCATAAATTGTGGGCAGTATCTTATCATGTAAGACACCATCTATTTTCAGTTTTCACAACAGAAGCTGTAAACAACACAAACACACATAAAATAATTAAAAGCCCTTTAAAGAGCAAGTCACCCCCTACCAGATTCTTACTCAACTCCCACTTCCTGTTTGACAAATGCTGTTGCCTAGCAGACCAAGAGGGCGGAGCCACACACACACACACACACACACACACACACACACACACACACACACACACACACACACACACACACACACACACACACTCACACACACACACACACACACACACACACACACACACACACACACACACACACACACACACACACACACACACAGGCTCACAATAACATTGTGACATCATATGGTACCAGCTGACGTTCTAGGGTACCTCTTAGCCAATAGCGATGGCAGATTTAAATTCAAATGCAGTGCAGAGTTTTTACCTGACAACGGCACAACACTGCCAGTTTTAGGCAGAAAATTAAAACTTTTACTAAAATGCACTAAAGTGCAAAACTATTGACTACACGTGTCTGCAGCACGATTAGACACGCATTTATATAGTTTATCAGAAAACAAAGTTGATTTGGGGGTGACTTGCTCCTTAACTAAGCTTTTAACCCCTTTATAAATTGGTTTTAACCCATATGGTTTATCTGCTGATATGATGGCATGTACTTTTTAATGACAACTATGAATTTTCCCATAATGCACATCATTCCTTCACTATTGGTTCAAGCCGCTGTTCTACACGCCTTTTCTGATGATGAAAGCTTTATTCTTACGCGTAAAATGAGTTTCGCCAGCGACTTTGTGTCATTTGTCACAAAAATATTCTGCAGAGATTAAAAAGACACGTGCTGGTTCATTTCTGCAGATTAGCATCAGTTTCGCTGTCACTCAGTGCATTCATGGACTCTGTGAGTGAGACAGGTATGTTGGTGACTGAGGGCTAAATATGTCACTAAGCTGGTCTGAAAAGTGTCATGCAGACCTCGAGGCTCCCTGAAGCGCTGCTTCAATTATGATATTATATCCCTGAGAAAGAGCAAATCATTGTTTGTCAAACCAGCCACCAACTCAACTCCCATCCATCTTTACTTTAAAAAAGTGAAAAAAAGGTTCAATTACACGAAGCTGACTGCTTCTGGTGATATATCATTATTTCAGATTGATGATGATAGTGGAAGTATGAACTTCACCGCACAGAGCTGACTTTGTTGCAGCACAAAGCATTTATCATCCCATCATGGCAGAAAGGGGAAACAGTAGTCATGCAGACCCCTTCCTGCTTATCGCAGACAACGGGAAGGTGCTTCGTAATCACCAGGTAGCTGGAGGAAGTACTGCAGCATCTGAAGTGAAGGCTTGAGACGCTTCAATAATCCCTACTCACAGTCCACACAACTGTCTATTTGCACATTTCACATAACAGGAAAGCTGAAACAGGCCTGACCTGGGAAATTTAGTGAACTATATTAATCAGTGCTGTTGTACTGGCTGCACAAAATTAAGTTTACTTATTTAAAGTAACGTAATCAAGCCTTTAAAGTTGTCCCCACTTTGCTGTGTTTGGGTCTTACGTTTAAAACTGCAACGAAGAAAGAGATATCCTTACAACAAATGAATGATTTTCTTACAAAAGGGAATTTTTCACTCAAATCAGATTTTATTTGTATTTTTCTTGCCTTACTTTGAAAATCTGGTGCAACAGAAAAACTGGTTCAGTTTTTTATTTATTTGTGTCAAACTGAGAAATAAAACCATTTTTCTTTCTCAAAACTCAAAAAGAGGCTCAAACTAATAATCCAACCTTTCTGGTTGAATCATTGTGTTAAATTCGTGTCTTAATTCAAGTAAACGTTAAGAATTAGCTTACATGTTCTTCGCCTCCTCGCTTTTCCGTCACTTTTGTCCCTCGTTATTTACCGTAGCGCCAAACTTGGTTGCTTGGAAACGGCGGAGCCGTTTGACCGCAGCAGCGATGGAGAAGTATGAGAAAATCAAAGTTGTTGGGAGAGGAGCTTTTGGGTAAACTGGATTTTAAACTCTTGGAGGTTGTTTTGTGTTGGACGCTCTGGTTCGTTTGAAAACTCGCTGCTGTCAGGAGTTTATTAGTAAAGATAAAACTCCGTCAAACGTATTTTTGTTTTCAAGTTCGTGACTTGTAACGGAATGAACGAAGCTAGACCTCCCAAACCAAGATGGAGCCCGATGACAGCGCTAGGCTGACTTTAAAAACGTTATTGTGGCTCAAAACTACCGAAATAAAGAAGCCAGGCCGCGGATCCGGTGTTTGATTATCGTGATGAAACTTTAAATAAATTCTCCCGAAAGGTTTCAGCTAATGTTTAGTGATGAATAAGACCGCAACAAGTTTTTACCTGTAGGGAAGATTTAAACAAAAGGGCACAAACACGTTTAGCTTTCAGACAGTGGTGGTTTTCTCTGTTAAAGCCTCTTTTAGGAGACATTTTTAGGAATTACAACATTAATTTTCACTTTCTCACCTAATTAATGGAGCTAAATAAGACTAAATATGAAGGACATTAAATCCTGATCACCTTTTACCTTTCAGTCTTGATAAAACTCAGGTTTTTATGATGATTTTTAGCCTTTTCAGTTTTCTTCAGGTCCTTTTTATTATCTGCAAAGCATCTAAAAAATCAGGAGCACTTAATATTAAGTTAAATTAAAAAAAACCCTGATGCAAAGGGATCCCGGGTGCTGCAGTGGGATTCCTAATGATAACTAAAAAAACGTCTCCCGTTTTAGCTTCAGATTGGTTGCTTGTAAAGTCCAACTTCAGATTAAAATACATTTTATTTTGTACCATAAGCTGCATATGTCTGAAAGCCTTCTTTACTCAGGACGTAGATCATTTGGTTTCAGCCTGCTTTTAAAACTAAACTTTCAAACTAAACTGTTAGCAAAAGGCTATGTGCTTTTCATTTTTAATACTCACTTGTTTACATGTTTCTATACTGGTTTTTGTTGTTTTATAGATTTTAAACCCTTTTGTTTTATTTCTGTATTTAATTATAGAGTATTGGTCTTTTTTTCAAGTGTTTCCTAATATTCATTTTTAATCTTAACTGATTGCATTTTGGCCCATTCATATCTTTATTTAATTCTAAATTTCTCTTTAAACTTAGTTTTTGGATTTATAATTAGGTTGGGTTTTACCTTAAACTCTGAGTTTTTCATGCAGCCAGAACATGAAACTAGTCTCCTACACCTATCTCCTGCATTAGCTTCTGACCTAAAATAGACAGCGAAACTCTAGGATTAGAAAATCCTGACAGATCTACGTCACACTGTCACTGAACTTCCATGGCCTCACCCATCCAGCCCACAGGAATGCTTATTTATTTATTTATTTGCAGCGAGGAGTGTCTCGGTGATAGTGGCTTTGCAACATGGCTGAATGTGTTTTGTTAGCCAATCAGAAGCGAGGTGTCTGCATATCAATAATAATAATGAGCAATCCAGCTGTTTTCAGCCCTCCTCTGCACCGGCAAACTTCTGCATCTCAGAACAGGAGCATCATAGCCTTTTTTTATATAACTCATAAGGCTTTAAGTTTCACTAGAAAACACTGCAAATGTGTTGAATAAACGAGTAAACTAACCCTTTAAAGTATGAAAACCTAATTTATTCATGTTTCTCCGTGGTTCTGTTGGTTCTCATGTGCTCGTGACAGCCAAGCCCAGTGCTCTTTAGGTTTACATCACCAAATCCAAGCTGTCACAGATCATCTCAGTGGGTTTTTTTCCTCTAGAAAACACGTGTGTCATTTTTCTTCTCTCTCCTGGTCGATCAGGATTGTTCACTTGTGCCGCCGGCGCAGCGATGGGGCCTTAGTCATCCTGAAGGAGATTCCAGTCGAGCAGATGTCCCGAGATGAGCGTCTGTCTGCCCAAAACGAGTGCCATGTGCTCAAACTGCTCAACCATCCAAATATCATAGAGTACTATGAAAACTTCCTAGAAGACAAGTCTCTGATGATAGTGGTGGAGTATGCTCCAGGTTAGCTCACAGTTCACGTTTCCATGTCTCAGTGACTAAAACCATGCACAATCCTCAGATTAGACATGGATTAGATTATAATAACTTCTCCTTTGTCATGATTTTATCAGGTATCAATATTTTTATATCCATATTCTGTTTTCCTCTTGCAGGTGGGACTCTGGCTGAATACATCCAGAAGCGTCGTAATTCCCTGCTAGATGAGGACACCATCCTTCACTTCTTTGTGCAGATCGTGCTCGCTCTGTATCACGTGCACAACAAACTCATCTTGCACCGTGACCTCAAGACTCAGAATATTCTTCTTGACAAACACCAGATGATCATCAAAATCGGTGACTTTGGCATCTCTAAAATCCTCGTCAGCAAGAGCAAAGCGTACACGGTGATGTTCGTTTCTGCTTTTGCACGCAAAAGAAAAGCCCCGGTTTCATTAGCATGAGTTAACAGGTGCTGCTTCCACCCTGCAGGTGGTTGGGACGCCGTGCTACATCTCCCCAGAGCTGTGTGAGGGGAAGCCGTATAACCAGAAGAGTGACATCTGGGCTCTGGGCTGTGTTCTGTATGAGCTGGCGAGCCTCAAGAGAGCCTTTGAAGCTGCTGTACTTAAAACTCTCCTTTTTGATAAATAAGCTTTTTATTTTTAAATTCTGACACTGTTTTAGCTTCTAAAGTCGTTTTCTAATAAAACACGTTCTACAATGTGCTTTAATTTTAATATTGTTGTAATTTTACCCCAGAATCTCCCCGCCCTTGTTCTGAAGATCATGAGCGGAACCTTTGCTCCCATATCGGACCGGTACAGCCCAGAACTCCGGCAGCTCATTCTCAACATGCTCAATCTGGATCCGTCCAAACGGCCTCAACTCAACGAGATCATGGCTTTACCCATCTGCATCCGGCCTCTGTTTAACCTCTACACGGATATCGGCAGCGTGAAGATGCGCAGGTTTGATTTAAAGAGCAAGTCACCCCCTACCAGATTCTTGTTTGAAAAATGCAACACATGCTGTTGCCTAGCAGGCCGAGAGGGCGGAGCCGCTAACAAATACACACGCACACAGGCTCACAACGACATTGTGACATCATATGGTACCAGCTAACGTTCTAGGGTACCTCTTAGCCAATAGCGATGGCAGATTTAAATTCAAATGCAGTGCAGTTTTTACCTGACGACAGCGCAACACTGACAGTTTTAGGCAGAATATTTAAATTTCAACTAAAATGCACTAAAGTGCTAAAGTATTGACTGTATGTGTTTATAGCACAATTAGACACTCATTTATATGGTTTATCAGCTAGAAAAAGTTGATTTGGGGGTGACTTGCTGTCTTAAGTAACACAGAGCCTTGTCCTGCTTCTCCGTCCTACTGGTTGAAAGTGGAATTACAACTATTGCAACCACCTCTGCTGCAGCCTGCTGTAACGAGCGCTAACAACAAGCTAACACTCACATGAGCAACTAATGGGGTTTGTGATTATGTCCTCATCACCAGAGTGGCCGCCATGTTGGTGACCTTGTTACGAGTTTCTTGCTACTTCAACAGCGCGCACAGTCTTGCGTCATCATTTAATCTATTATTCATGTGATTGGCTATTAATCAACCATGGTAAATTGTTGCTATGTTGTGGGGTGCAAATATATAATCGCTAGTGAATAAAACGTGGAAAACAGGCTAACTTCTCACTGTTTTCCTGCTTGGAGGCATAACCATGGCAACCAAGCGATGGCAGATTTAAATTCAAATGCAGTGCAGAGTTTTTACCTGACAACGGCACAACACTGACAGTTTAGGCAGAAAATTTAAATTTTAACTAAAATGCACTAAAGCACAAAACTATTGACTACACGTGTCTGCAGCACGATTAGACACGCATTTATAGTTAATCCAAAAAAAGCTGATTTGGGGGTGACTTGCTCTTTAAGTAATCATATTTGAAGAAGTTCATCCAGGATGGGAAGCAGGCTGTGATTTCCGTAGGTAAACTGTTTGTGGACAGTAAGATCTTCAAAGAACGAGTATTAACAGACTGGCTTTATTAGACAAACATCAGGTACAACTTTATTATTATTAACAGCATTCACTGGGTTTGAACATGTCAGGATTTATAGCTGCTAGATCCGTGTTTAGATGTGTTCACCTGTTCCCTCACCACCTCACACCCACAACACTTTTTCTTTTCTTTCTTCTTTTTTCCTTTTCTTAACCTTTATAATTCCCTTCTTTCCCTGTTTTATCTGCTTCTGGATCTTTACATCTGCATGGCACAATTAGCTTTTTTTTCTACACTGCAGCAACACGCACACAACGTACGTGCGCGCACACACACACATATAGAATCCATACGCACAGTCACACACGATAAGTAGGCTAAGGTCAACATGTTTCGACCTCGTCGTCGAAACATGTCGACCACATGGCAGGTTTCTACTAGACATAAACATAAACATAACATCCTTTCAGTGAGCACAGATTAATGAAGCATTTCATTATACTATAATTATTATAAGTAGGAATAAACAAATGTTTATTTAATGATTATCTAGATTATAAGTCATGGAAGAAGTTCATATTGATTTAGGAAATCATTGTTGAATTTAGCAACTGATTCGAGCTGGAGTTCTTCCTTCTGTGGAGGCAGCCAGATGGGACCTTGGGAAAGAAAGTTATTGTTTAGCTTTCAGGGCTGCAGAGTCTGTGAGCCCCAGCTGGTATGAAGGCGGGCTCATTTTAAGGGAACACGTGCAGTGTTGTGTCTCCTTTCTGACCAGATGTTGAATAGATGTTGAAAGGTCAGGCTGTACCTAAACTGACCATTGCTGGACTTTACACCACTCTCCCCCTCACTGTTTGCTATCTTTATCGAACCACTAGCAGCAGCAAATAGGCAAACAACAGGTATTAAAGGCATAAAGTGTAAGAAAATAGAACATAAGATCAGTCTTTATGCAGATGATGTTTTACTCTTTCTCCAGAATTCTCAATCCTCTCTCTCCCAAGCAATAGAACTGATAAACTCTTTCTCAAGAGTTTCAGATTACTCAATAAACTGGTTAAAATCCACAGTTCTACCAATTAATTTCTCTTTTGTCAATTTACTTAATACACAATTGGAGTCAGGGAATATCACATACCTGGGAATTAATGTCTCTCCCAAGTTAGCAGATCTAACCAAGCTAAACTACATCCCACTTTTAAAGAAAGTGGAAGACGATCTTGCAAGATGGAAATCCTTACCGATATCACTCATGGGGAGAGATGCTACAATTAAAATGATGGTCTTACCCAGAATAAATTACTTATTCTCGATGATCCCAAACAAGCCACCAGCTGACTGGTTTAAATCTCTGGACTCCTCAATCACTAAATTCCTTTGGCAGGATAAACCTCCACGAATTAGCTTGAAAACGCTTCAGAAGACCAAAGACAGAGGAGGACTGGATCTGCCCAACTTTTAGCATAATTTCTTAGCCAACAGGCTGCAATATATACCAAGATGGATGCAAGATAACCCACTAGACGAGTCCTGGTTAGATATAGAACAGACACTTTGCAATACGATAGAGCTTTCAGACTTACCATTTATTAGCTCAAGCATAAGAAAACATGAAAGCTTCAAAAGTATTAGTATCAGCACCTCTCTGACAGCATGGTGGGAGTATCTAAAATTGTATATTTCATCCGTTTTAAACCTTCTATTTGTTACTGAGATGTTTTTCTTTTTGTATCATCCAGGATTGAGAAGCTCCTGTCTCCTGTGCAAACAGGCCCTCAAGGCCGACCCGGAGGGAGGGTTCCTGTCAGTAGGGCTAGAGGTAAAACACGCATTAGCGTTTGACTCAAAGGTTTAGCCGTTGCTCTCTGATTGTGGCGTTAACATGGACAGATGGATCCGTTGGTTTAGGAGCAGGAAAGGTGCACTCCCTCCCGCTCTCCTCGGTCTACACGTGGGGAAGCGGCATCACGGCACCGCTACGGCTGCAGATGCTCGACACCGAAGTGCTGCTGGTGTCCCTGGGGCGCACCCAGAAGATGGGAGTCACCAAGTCAGGCCGGCTGATTACGTGGGAGGTCTGCTTTAATGCTCGAACCTTTTCATTCCTAGAGATCTAATAACTTTAACAGGAAAATCTTACTCTGCTTGTTCCTGTTTTGGTTATTTAATGACATACCTGAGAAAGAACTGAATATGGCTAGTTGAAATCATGATTATTTGTGCTCCTTTAACCGGGTTTATTATCATTTCTGGACCCAGGCTCCGTCGGTGGTGTGCGGTGAGTCCAGCCTTCCAGGTGCGACGGAGCAGACGCAGCCACTCTTTGTCTCTCGCTTCCTCGAGGGACAGTCTGGTGTCACCATCAAGTCCGTGTCCTGTGGTGACCTCTTTACCACCTGTGTGACAGGTCGGTGAGCTGTTCCCGCCTAATAAACAACTTACTCCAGCTGAAGGAAATCAGTGTTTACGTTCTGCTTTCTGTCCCCACAAAGACGTGAGGACACTGCAGACGTTTTCCCAATGGAGTAAATCCAGCAGGAAAAGCTTCGTGTGCCTGTCTGGTGGTTTAGAAGGGCTGTTTTCCTTCAGGTGTGCTGATACTCGGCTCCGTGTAGGAGGTTGTGGTCAGCCTGTCCAGCGTTGAAAAGCAGATCATGCGGGATTAAACCCGCCTCCTCTCAGCTCAGTTGCTCTTCTGTCATCACTTTTCACCGCAGTGACACAGATTAGCGTTTCCTGGGGATTAGAGGCATTCTGTTGCTCTGTGCAGCAATACACCTGGCCTCATCAGCATATAGCCCTGTAAACCTCCTGTTTCTATTATTACCTTGCAGACAGGGGCATCATTATGACGTTTGGAAGTGGCAGCAATGGCTGTCTGGGACACGGGAACTTCAATGATGTAACACAGGTATGCCTTCCCCGGAAAAGACGCATAAAGCAGGTTTTTGCCGCCGATCCGTGGAAAATTCTTTGTGTTTGTCTGCAGCCCAAGATTGTGGAGGCTCTCCTCGGCTACGAGTTGGTTCAGGTGTCCTGTGGAGCCTCCCACGTTCTCGCTGTGACCAATGAAAGAGAAGTGTTTGCTTGGGGAAGAGGAGACAATGGTAGAGCAAATAAAACGCTTGTTTTTGTTTGTGCACCATTAATTTATGACTCCCAGCCTGATTGTTGGCTGTCTGGCAGGTCGCCTCGGGCTGAGCACCCAGGACACCCACAACTGTCCACAGCAGGTGTGTTTACCTGCAGAGTTTAAGGCCCAGAGGGTGGTGTGTGGCGTCGACTGCTCCATGATTATCAGCACTCAGGGCAGCATCGTGGCGTGTGGAAGCAACAGGTAATAAATCCGCTGAACAGCAGGAGGGAAGTACTTAAACACAAGACCCCGATGCTGCATCGAATGTGATGAAACTATGATTTAGAGTTAAAGGTTTCATTTAACCGCTTCGCTCATCAAACCCGTGAGACGGCGTTCTTCAGGAATGTGTTCTCGCTGACTCGCTAATCTCCTCCTTCCAGAAAGGATGTAGCTCTGTTAGCTAGCAGGAAGCCGTAAAACACCACGTTCAGCTCACGCCTTCGGAGCTGATGGCTGACAGCTTGTTGAAATGTTTTGGGAGGTGTGGGATGAGATTTAGTTAAATGCAGGTTCTTTGTGGTTTTTTTACCGTCAGGGTGAACAAACTTGGCCTGGATAAGATCTCAGCAGGAGAGGAGCCAAACGCTCCGAGTCAAGTGGAAGAAGTTTATTCTTACACGGCGGTCCGGTCCGCCCCGCTCGACTCTGAGAGGATTGTTTACGTCGACATCGGCACCGCCCACTCTGTTGCCGTTACAGGTTGTTATTTTTTATTAAATCACATCTTTTGAAGCAGATTTATGACATTTCCTCTTTAAGGCTAGAGAGCTAAACCCCGTCTCAGTTTGTTGTTTCTGTGACTGAAACACCCAGAAGGCGGCCGGTGTTTTACGTTTGGCAGCAACCAGCACGGCCAGGTGGGCTGCAGCTCGCGCCGGAGCAGCCGCGTGCCGTACGGCGTGCCCGAGCTGCAGGGCATCGTCATGGCCGCCTGCGGCGATGCCTTCACATTGGCCGTCGGGTCTGGTGAGTCCAAGCATCCCGGTTTTTGTCTTTCCCTTCAGAACAGCTCAGATGTGGGTTTACGACCAAATGTAACACAAAACAAGTCGTATTTCTCTGGTATTTTGGCTTTTATTGATCTAATCGACTGGACTTTTAGTTCCCGGTAAATAAAAACACGTGAAACTTGTGTCTCATAAACATTTCTCATTGAAATAAGAAAGAAAACCAAACTCAGGATGAAAATTAGAAAAAAAAAATATCTGAAATTCCTTCTAATCGAAACAGCTTTAGGGTTTTTCACTAAAACAAAGAAAAGGACCCCTTCGTGTTTACAAAAATGCCAGTAACTGGTTTCTAACGTGTGTTTTGTCTTAAGCTAACAGCATAAACACACTAAACCACTGGTTGGGCCTCAGATAGATGACAGATGTCTGCTGCTCTTCTGGGTTTTGGCTCCCCGGGGAGAAAACAACAATGTCCGTGGCTTTCCTTTGCAAACGAAGTCCTTTGTTCTGCTAAGATAAATACAAATAGAGCCGTCACTGC